TATCCAGTAAAAAAAAACTAATTCAAATGAATTGAAACGAATTAACATTTTTGGTAGGCTCCAATTCGTATTTGTCACAAAGCGGGATTCACTCAAGCTCTTTGTATATTCAATTGAATTTAATTCAATATGTACCAATTTGTCCAAACGAATTCGCATTCGAAAGAAATGGCCAAGGAATGCATTGAATTCGTGCTAACGAATTGAAAAAAATTAAAGGCTCAAAACTTGTCCAGTGAATTGGTACGGATAGAAGGTTCGGAAGTTCAATACAGTTTCACGAATTCAGGAAAATTGCATCATGGCTCCAATTCGTATTTGTCACAAAGCGGGATTCACGAAAGCTCTTTGTGAATTCTTTTTAATTCATTTCAATTAGTTTTCGTTTACTGGGTAGTAATTTGTGTGTAAAATAAGCCCTATAAATTTGAAGCCGATCGGTTGAGTAGTTTTCAAGAAATCTTGTCCACCGCATGGATACTTCTTGAAAAATGAAATTTAGAGAAAAACGCATTTGAAGTTTTTAGAACAGAGTGACCAAAATTGTTATAAAAAATAAATCAGATTCGCTTGAAACTTCCTACTCGGGGGTTTTTGGGGTCGCTAATTACGAATCTGAAGTCAGTTTTTGAAAATTCAAAATGGCGGATCGAATATGGCGGATCACATTTTAAAAAAACTTCTTGATTCGCTTGAAACTTGTTACTTGGGGGTTTTTGGGGTCGCTGATTACGAATCTGAAATCAGTTTTTCAAAATTCAAAATGGCGGATCCAATATGGCGGACGAAATTTTTAAAATCTTTTTGATTTGCTTGAAGCTTGTTACTCGGGGGTTTTCGGGGTCGCTGATTACGAATCTGATGTCAGTTTTTCAAAATTCAAAATGGCGGATCCAATATGGTGGATCACGTTTTAAAAAAACTTCTTGATTCGCTTGAAACTTGTTACTCGGGGGTTTTTGGGGTCGCTGATTACGAATCTGAAATCAGTTTTTCCACGAAAATGTAACATTACATTTGACACACCTGTATTGTAGAATAGAAATTAGTAATAATCTGTAACTTTAATTTTTTGTAATTTTTTTTCAATTTATACGGAAATTCTGCTGCGCACTACTTTTTTTCGTTTTAACATTTTGCCTTTTGATGCATCAAGAACAGTTATAGAAAATTCTTACGAAGACTAACAGAACAAAAAAAATAAAAGGAATGTAGACTAAAAAGGGAAAATAGTGTTTTGATCTAAAAGTGGAAAGAAGTGGGCATTAAATTTTTAGATCTTCAAAAAAGAAGATTGGCTTACAAGACGACGAGACAACAGTAGAGAAATCACTTGCATTTATAGTTTTAAATTTTGTGACAGTATTTTCGATTATATCAGCAATTATTAAATACAAAAAATACGACAATGACGTGAAATTTCAAACATTAAGCACTTATGGTCTACGCTTCATAATAGCATCTTTAATATGAGTTCCTATTTGTAATAAGCGTCCGCAAAAACCCCCAAGTAAAAAGTTTCAAGAGAATCAAAAAGTTTTTTTTTAATTTTGTCCGAAATATTGGACCCACCATTTCGAATTTTAAAAAAATAACCCCAAAAACCCCCGAGTAACAAGTTTCAAGCGAATCAAGAAGTTTTTTTAAAACGTGATCCACCATATTGGATCCGCCATTTTGAATTTTGAAAAACTGACATCAGATTCGTAATCAGCGACCCCGAAAACCCCCGAGTAACAAGCTTCAAGCAAATCAAAAAGATTTTAAAATTTTCGTCCGCCATATTGGATCCGCCATTTTGAATTTTAAAAAACTGATTTCAGATTCGTAATCAGCGACCCCAAAAACCCCCAAGTAACAAGTTTCAAGCGAATCAAAAAGTTTTTAAAATTTTTGTCCGCCATATTGGATCCGCCGTTTTGAATTTTCGAAAACTGACTTCAGTTTCGTAATTTTGAGGTATTATTCCTTCAGGAAATGCAAAAACCCAAAAATCGATTTTTTTGACCAAAACAATTAGGCGTAACCCCTTAATATCCATGGATCAAATTCATTGTCTTACAAATATTTCCAAAACATTTTGTTGAATTTAACTTGGAATTTTAATTTTTAAGTTGAGTTGCACGGAAAAAGGTTAGTTCAATTGTTGTGAAAATTTAATAAAAAGCATAAAAATAATTTAGGCAACATACATTTTTTGATTGATATGTGTTAAAACTTAAAAATGAGCAAATTTACTTGTATAAATAAATTATTATGCAAACATGAATTTCACGATTAAGTCATTAATACGAAGTATCAAAATGTTTTTTAAAATAGGCTGTAACGACTTTAGGTGAAATATAGTATGGATTGACCTCTTATAATTTCCTTTTTAAATGCTTAAATTGGTTTCAATTTATATTTTCACTTTATTAAGAATGTTATAAATTAATTTGTATTAATCAAAATTAATGAACAAATTTAAATTTTTTTGAGAGAAAATAATAATATCGTAGAACTTACGCAAACTTGTACAAACCTCTTTAAATTTTTTAAGCTTACCCAAAATCCATAAAAATAACAATCCCCTAACACATTTCTTATCTCAAATAATTTTTTACGTTACTCAATGATTCTATAAGCAAACTATGATTTATCATGATCTATGATTTTATAAACAAGATTAAACGATTTTCTATTCCTGACGACCATATTATAATTAGCTTGAATGCTGTTTCTTAGACGATTTACTTGAATCTTTCCAATTCATTTTTAACAATATTTTTTCCAAGTTCAATAATACATTGACAAATTATGGTACCCCAGTGGGTTCATGCGTCTCTGAATTATTTGCGGACTTGGATGACTTAGGAATTTCATGTGAAACAAAACTTTCTTTTATACCTATATTTTATTATCAATACGTTGATGATACAATCACTTGCATCTCAAAAGATAAAATCAATGAAATGGTTAAAACGTACGTCTTTAATAGTTATGACTACAAGCTGCAGTTTACCTTTGAGATACAAAAAATAATTCTATTAACTTTCTTGATAGTCTTCTTATTAACGAGTATAGCGAACTTATTACTGATTGGTATAAAAAACTCTTCTTCTGGACGCACCATTACTTGCTACTCAAAACATCCTTTTGCTCAAAAAGTTGCCATAGTTTATAACTTCATTGATAGAGCTATAAAACTTTCCTATAAGAAATTCCACTCAAAAAATATAGAATTTGTTAAAGAAACTTTAATCAAAAATAATTATCTTCTGGGAATCGTTAATAAGCATATCAAAAATCGTATTTGTTCTATAGAGTACAACTCGATTAAGAATAACAATAAAAACATGCTACACTATATAGAATGCTTCCCAAACTTTTTTGCCTTATATCCCAGACCTTTATGAATGGTGGGAGTCCGCATAAAACAACATAAAAACTCTAAATCTAATGTCATTGCAAAGTAAAAAAAGATGACACTCAAAATCTCAGTAACTATTATATTAAATTCTTAAACGAAAGAATTACTTTAGAAACATTGACTCGGAGTGATTGTTAACTTGAATTTTCAATTATTTGACGACGGAGTGATAGAAGCATCATTATTATATTTAGTCCAAAGAAATGAGCATCTGATTGGTAATCTCGAAATTATTTTAAAGACGTACATTCTTTAAATGCAAAACACTTGTTTTCACTGGAAACTTTATTTAACTTTAAAAGTTGTAATTTTAAAGAAGTGTTGAAAAATCAATATTTACTATCATAGAAAAGAAACGATTTCTTATTGTTTGGTAGTATGCTTTTAACAAATAATTTAATTTCAGATTAATACATTACAACAGTTGCAAAATGTAGCTTCCTATGGATTTCTGAAGAAACGATTAGAAAGGCACGATCTACATATTCACGCTCTTTGGTTTGATATTTATACCGGTGATATTTATTATTTTAGTAGGGCTAACAAAAGATTTATAGAAGTAAACGAAAATACAGAGAAACTACTTCTAAAAGAAATAAAAAAGTACTATACTTAATATTTTATGCAAATTCGTATTCCCAACTAATTTACTTAATATTCGAAAATAATGAAAATTATTAAAGAAAGGGACTCAAATAAGATAGTAATCCAACTTAAAATTAAGATTAATAAATTTTTAATTTATTAAATAATTCGATCATTTGTTAAATAAGCATTCCTCTGGAAAGAGAAGAGGAAAAATTCACTTTGAATAAAAAATTATAATCCTCGAAAACTATCAGTAATAACACTTAGATAGATAACACTACTTAAGGTGAAAGAAAAAGTTTTCTCCACTCACCCCATATCAATAACTACTCTTTTTACGAAATAGAAATTCATAAATAAATAATTACAAATTTAATTGCATATTTCTATTATGAGGATCGTAATCTTTTCACCAGATATGTCTAGACATTTATGTGCCGAATTTTTTATATTTTCAATTATCAACATTTAGGAAAAGGCATAAATGTTTCAGAAAAGGAACAAAAAAGTATACCTAAATTAGGTTATAATTTCCTGATTTACAATAATGTGCAAATAGAAATTTTTATTTTTGAAAAAGTTAAAATTTTAAGGGATTAAAAATTTATGTCATTTTTGTATTTTTTAATTAAAATATCTGGCTAACAAACTTAGCATTTATTTTTACACTAACAACTGCAAATGTACCAAATGCCAAATCGTTTCAATTAATTTTTTAAATGTTATTGTTAGAACAAAATTGTGGTCTGTCCACGGACAATATTTATTTATTAATTAAATAGTTTTTTACTGCTATATTTATACACTTGCGATAGAAATAAATGTTTTATAAAAATGAAAAATTAGAAAAATAAGAGCATTGTGAATACTGTACTCTTTAATTGTCAATGACTTTCGTGTATTTGAAAAGAAAAAAGGTTTATTACATATTGAGAAGAATCAAACTTGACTTTATTAATCTTACATCTTTATTTTATGTACATTTAATTTATCTTTCTTAATATTTCTTTTTTTATGTAATTACAATGTCACCTCAAATTTCATAACGCATCTTAATATAAGTAGGTACAGTTTTAAACGTATTTGTCACAAAAAATGTTTAAATTGACATACGGTTCGAATATATAAGTTTTCGAGAAAAGCAACAAGTGAAGTTGAAGTTCAAAAGTGAATTTTGATGCGCCTGAAAGTTTTTATAGCTTGAAACTTATTACTTGGAAGTTTTCGACCCGCTATTTATAAAACTGTTATCAGATCAGATTTCCAAAATTTAATATGTCGATTTCAATATACTTTAATATTGTAGCATTGAAAAGAGTGCAGAATCTATTATAAGAATATCAAAAAAGCAAAAAAGTAAAAGTTTATTTTTTAAATCCGTAGGTCCCTTTTGTTTCTTTACTTACAGCTTGCATTTCATTATTAATTCGTATAATGTATTAAAATCTTTTTTCAACCCAAAATTCGTGCTTTGATATAAAGTTTATGAACGAAATTTTTTTTCGAATTTCGAACGAAAATTCTCATTTTCAGGCAGAAATCAGTGTGAATGTAATCTTTTTAAAAAAGTGGAAAAGACTGAGTGAGAACTCTTCGGTATTTCACAATTCGAATTTGATATCGGTTTTTGTTTATTTCTTTAATGATATAACTCCAAACCGGCTGCCTTCTGTAAGGCCAAAGTTCTTTAGTGCGTTGAAAAGCTTGTTTTCAAATCATCATTTACAATAATTATAAAATCAAATTTATTTAAATTAAAGATTCATTTATAAAGAATAAAAATAAAAATAAAATAATAAAAAAAAAAATTACGTTCAAAGTGGTGATTAAGTTACATTTAACTTTATAGTAACAATATTTTAATAAAAAAAGCCAGAGAGAGAGAGAGAGAAATATTAATTATGTAATTTATTATATTTTTATGGTTATATTCATTTAAAGTATTCTTTATCCTCATAGTCAATCTACGATAATTCTTTTTTAAAATCTGTTGCGTTCCTCGATTACAATAACCTTAACATAACACTTGTTATATATTAAATGATTTTCTCCCATTTACTGTCACGCTTAAAAGTTTTGTGTATTGAGAAAAATGAAAATATATTATTTCATTTATATTCGTTGTAGAGTAAGACAGTTGAACTAGTTACTTAAATTTTTGGAAACGTAATTCTTACAATATTTATGCACAATATATTATTTTTTATGAGTAATTTTTAATTACACTTTTAAAATGTAGAATGAACTAATCTATATCTTGCATTTTCAATGTCAAATTATTAAACTTGAATTTATTAATAAACTTTATTACTAGACGGATGTTTGAGTTGACCTTTTTCTAATAAAAAATAATGTCTTTTTCAACTTGTCTTCAAAGTATCAAAAATATTTTATTAAAATTGATTTTGAGAGAAAAACCTTAATTAATGTTTTCCTACGTATGTATAATATCTAATAATATAAAGTCTTCTTTATTGAATTTTTGCTTTGATACTAATTTATAATTTAATTTATTAAAAATAATGGATTTATTCTATCACTCAGTCGTATTAAATAGTAAGAATTTGATGTAATCGATCACACTGAGTCAAGGAAGTTAAAAATTAAAAAAAAAAACTCTCTTTTTACGTTTCGACAGCGCTGCCGTCCTCATCAGAAACTACAATTTATTAAAAAAGTTAAAAATTATTACAAAATTTTGTACATTATTAATTAATTTAAATCTATAGTAATAGAAAATTACCAGAAAAAAGAATATATTTACGCGTTCACATTATTGAAATAACGTCCTACACGCTATAAGCGAAATGTGACACTGAGCAAACAAAATATTAAGAAGTAGACATATACAAGAAAAGAATCGACGATGAAGGGTCAACGACATTTCAGTAAACAGAGAAATTAGGTAATAAGAGAAATGTCAGAGCATCAAAATATGACAAGATTACGAGTATTTATTTTCATTGAGAAAGTGTGTATAATAATTATTAAGATTTTGTATGTCATCCCTTTTATTAATCGGGTTAATTTGTAAATTAATATAAATCATTTCTGATATTAAACGTTTTTTGTAATTATCCTCTCTGTCAAGAATTGCAAAATTAACAAAATCAAATCTGTGTTTTAAAGAATCACAATGATGTGCAACTATATTATCTTTAGAATTTTTATGTTCATTAATTCGGACGCCAACCATTCTTTTTGACTGTCCAACATATGAGGCAGAGCAATCATGACAATTAATCTTATAAACAGTATTAGTATTTTCAGTTTTTTTATTTTTGTCTTTATATTTAACGATAAGATTGTGACTCATATTAATATTACTAATAGGAATAGTTAAAATGTTGTAATTCTTTAATAAGAATGAAACATTCTCAAAAAGATTAGGAACATAAGGTAAAAAGACCTTGGGTAACATATTGTATATTGTCCTATTATTATTATAATTATTCCCATTAGAGTCATTGTGTTTATTTAAATTAATGAAGGAAATACGTTTTTTAGTATATTTACGGATAAATTCTATTGGATAATTATTATTCAATAGTAACTGTTCAACAAATTGAATGTTTTTTGAATGAAATTGCTTATCTGACAACTTAACAGCTCTGTCAATAAGATTGTATACAATAGCAACTTTTTGTGAAAATGGATGTTTTGATTTGTAATTGATAGTTCGTCCAGAAAATGTAGGTTTTAAGAACCAGTCAGTAATGAGCTTTTTATTGTCAATAATAATAAGAACATCTAAAAAGTTTATACTATTAATTAAACTATTAATTAAACTAATTAATTTAACGGCTATGATGAAAGATTACAATTTACATTTGAAATGTTAAATAACAATAGTATAAACTTTTTAGATGTTCTTATTATTATTGACAATAAAAAGCTCATTACTGACTGGTTCTTAAAACCTACATTTTCTGGACGAACTATCAATTACAAATCAAAACATCCATTTTCACAAAAAGTTGCTATTGTATACAATCTTATTGACAGAGCTGTTAAGTTGTCAGATAAGCAATTTCATTCAAAAAACATTCAATTTGTTGAACAGTTACTATTGAATAATAATTATCCAATAGAATTTATCCGTAAATATACTAAAAAACGTATTTCCTTCATTAATTTAAATAAACACAATGACTCTAATGGGAATAATTATAATAATAATAGGACAATATACAATATGTTACCCAAGGTCTTTTTACCTTATGTTCCTAATCTTTTTGAGAATGTTTCATTCTTATTAAAGAATTACAACATTTTAACTATTCCTATTAGTAATATTAATATGAGTCACAATCTTATCGTTAAATATAAAGACAAAAATAAAAAAACTGAAAATACTAATACTGTTTATAAGATTAATTGTCATGATTGCTCTGCCTCATATGTTGGACAGTCAAAAAGAATGGTTGGCGTCCGAATTAATGAACATAAAAATTCTAAAGATAATATAGTTGCACATCATTGTGATTCTTTAAAACACAGATTTGATTTTGTTAATTTTGCAATTCTTGACAGAGAGGATAATTACAAAAAACGTTTAATATCAGAAATGATTTATATTAATTTACAAATTAACCCGATTAATAAAAGGGATGACATACAAAATCTTAATAATTATTATACACACTTTCTCAATGAAAATAAATACTCGTAATCTTGTCATATTTTGATGCTCTGACATTTCTCTTATTACCTAATTTCTCTGTTTACTGAAATGTCGTTGACCCTTCATCGTCGATTCTTTTCTTGTATATGTCTACTTCTTAATATTTTGTTTGCTCAGTGTCACATTTCGCTTATAGCGTGTAGGACGTTATTTCAATAATGTGAACGCGTAAATATATTCTTTTTTCTGGTAATTTTCTATTACTATAGATTTAAATTAATTAATAATGTACAAAATTTTGTAATAATTTTTAACTTTTTTAATAAATTGTAGTTTCTGATGAGGATGGCAGCGCTGTCGAAACGTAAAAAGAGAGTTTTTTAATTTTTAACTTCCTTGACTCAGTGTGATCGATTACATCAAATTCTTACTATTTAATTTATTAAAGTTAAATAAAAAATTTACTCGTCATGTCTGTAGAGATTCATATTTTTTAAAAGAGCAAATTTTATAGTAGTAGCAATAATTATTATTTCCATACTATTAACTTGCGGATAGACGTTAAAAACTTTTTAGATATGATAGTCATTCAATATTTACACAGTAATTTAGTAGTTAGGAACAACAGACATTTTACTGTTTTTTAGTCAAAATATCATTTCATTAATGTTTCTCCATGATGGACGGATTGTTTATACTTAAAAATTTAAGCCTGCAATATTAACTTTGATTAATTTCTAATAACTACATTTACTGCGTTTTGTATTAAACTTTTTTATTTTGCTTGTAAGATTATACAAATTATATAAAAACTTATTTGCCGCTCGACGGTGAAAAAGATCTACCAGCCAAAAAAATTATAGATTGTGTTTATGATCGGTTTACCTTTATTAGTAGAGCTTTTTTTAAGTTCATAAAATAAAAAAATTTTATTTAATATTTTGAATGTAATCAGAATTTAAATATCATTAGTGTGTACTGAGAGTTGATCCTCTTTATATGTATTATCACTTCAAAATTAACATTCATAACCCACAATTTTTTGGGGGGTGGGTCTCTTTCACCGTGGAGCGTCTCATAATTAAATTATTTAAAATATATTAAATTGTAAATAAATATATATATATATATATATGTATATGTATATGTATATACAATATACGTAAGCGTAACATGAATAGCAATCGACGAAAGCAGTAAAAGCATTTTGGTAATGAAAAAAGTTAAATTACTTATTTTTCAGCAGGTCTATCACTATGACAAAGTTGTTTCTATATAGAAGAAAGTTTCAGGTACATTTTGAAAGTTTTGAAAAATTGATTTCTTCATTTGAGGTTGCAAAACACACAAGTTAAAAAATTGTAACTAACTGTTGTGAATGAATTGTTAAACAATAATAAATTATCATAATTTTGGGAAATTTTAATAACATCAATTCCAATTCTGTCTATATTAGCAACCTCTAAGAAATATCAAACTACATTGCATATAAAAATAGATACTTTATGATAAAAGATATCTTCTTGTTCATTTTATTAAAAATTAGCATTTGTTCCTATATTCTCTTTCTTGAAATACTTTTTACAGCTTTATATTCTTTAAATCAATCTTAATATATTCTTCGAGTAAGAGTTCAATCATGATATTCCAAATTGAATGATATTGAAAATATCGTCGGATTAGTGCAATATTTTGATATCACACTTGTTAGGAAAAGAAAGAAGAACATAATTATTCAAAAAAAGAGGCAAGAAGATGCTTATTCAAAATATAAAGCAAAAACGTTCCAATTAGAAAATTAGCTTTTTTAGTTAGATTTTAAATTATAATTTCATATCAATAATACTTCTTCTATTAGAAAAATAAAATATCAGGAAAAGTTAAGTAACTATTTATAAAATTTAAATAAAAGTACAATTAGAATTGGACAGAAAAGGTTAATTTCAGAATTGGTTGGTTTTTCCCTTACATTCTGAACAGATATGTCCTTGTTTTGTTTTCCGCATAAGTATAATATTGCACTAACCCGACGATATGTTAATTTGCCTAGACTTTGGGCAGAGAGCAATAATATTATATTAGTTTTAATCATTATGTTTATTTATAAGTTATTTTAATTAATTATGTACCTATTTATACTTTTAGCAATCTTTTTTTCTCTCTTAATGTATTTTCTTCAATGTCGCAAAAGAATTTTTTTTGGAAAATAGCCAAAAGAAGCATTATTCCTAAACTGTTCCAAGTGAAAAAATGTCCTGGAACGTACATTTGCAAATACTTGAAGCTCACTTAAAAGTAATCAGATTAAGAATCTTCACACTCACCGTAACGATCTCTTTATTCTGATATGCTTAGTATGAATTCTCCGTTAATTGTCTTGAGAATTGGGAAGTAGAATTCCCATATAAAGTTAAGTTCTTTTAAAAATATTTATTTATGAACCATCTTAATCGAATTACTTAAATAGAAGCTACAAATTTCCATTAAATTATATTTAAAAGTTTGAGCTATAAGTGAGATCCCCCATGCAAGATGGTACGATCATCTCTACATCAATGAGATAACGTAAGATGTATGTAAAAAGAAAATTTAGAATAACCACTTAGGTGTCAGAATCATCTAATTTTTGGGTTGTCTTGTTGAAATTAAGTACATACGCCTAATGCTAGCTTGTGAATTAACGGATAATAGACTTGGCAAATTTGTTCGCGAACGCAAAGCATAAAACAGAAAAGGATAAACAAAAATTGCTGGCCTTCTCTATTTTATACTCCACATCCTCGAAAGGATAGAGTCGATAAGTTTGTACGTCAGCTAATATTTATAGCCTAAACTGAATAGTTAAATATAAAACATTTTTTGCTTAAAAAAATTCAGAAATAATGCTCCATATGTATAGCACAGAAGTTTGTATTATTAGGAAAAAATTTCGTTAAAGCAAAAAGGTTCACCACCTCTTTGTTTTAACGAATTTTTTCCCTAATCATTCACGAGTTTATCATTCAACGGCATTATAGTAGTGCATGTTTTAGTAGAACTTTGATAATGGATTTGAAAATTGCCCTTCCTAATTTTTTCTCTGTTCCTTAGACGTCTTAAAAGTAATTGCTTAATTTTTTCCTTGCAAACAAAAATGATGAAAATCGTGAATCCCTGAAGTGAGTTCACAATGTCCGTAATATAAAAAATCCAACTTGGTTCATCTCCAAGAAGCCATGATATTATTTCCATTGACCAGTTAATACCCATTACAATAAAAAGTTTCAGATATAGATTAAACCTGTAAAATATTTAAGGGACATGAAATTTTATGAATTATTCTCTTAACGAAGTTATTAATTTACTTTGCATACATTTAAGCACTACAAGCTTAATATATTTAAAAAATTTACCATTGTTTGCTGTCATCGTGACGTCTGCTTTCGCTACTTCTTAAGTGACATATTGTATCCTTTTTATGTTTTGAGATTTTTATAGAAGTTGAAATGAATAAGAACATATTAATTATCACAGTAACACCCATTGGACAGTAAAAGTAAAATCCTTTTGCTAGCTCCTCTATAGGATAAAAAAAATTATGTACATTAAGTTTCTTCTAATATCTTATAAAAAAGGGTGGTCATTCATATACTCCTTTTGGAGTTATTTTCAAAGAATCGATTGCAATGATGCAATCATTGGGAAGTCTAGTTTTACAGTGTTATACTTAGCACTCGAGAGAACTTCGTCCAGATCGAGAATACAAAGGGGAATCATAATCAGAAAAGGAAATCAATTTGAAAAAGTGGTACAGAACCTGCTGTATTGATATTGTTTATCATAAAAGAAATATTATAAAAACATTATAAAAATTATTATAAAATAAATATTTTATATATCAATACAGCAGGTTCTGTACTACTGTTTCAAATCAATCAATTCAATCAAAAGGGCCTAGTACGAAATGACAGTAGAAGAAGAATCTAGAAGAAAGATTTTATATATCAATGCAGTAGGTTCTGTACTATACTTTCTTAGCCTACAGAAGGACGATAGGATACGTCAGTTAAAAGTCAAACTGGTATATTAGCTGCACCAGATGATTCTAAAACCACGATTCATGCATACGGAAGTTGCAGGTTGATTAGAAGGGTGTTGTGATGATGCTTCATGGAAAGAAGTTTTTACTCTTAAATACAGTGCACGACATAAAAAAACAAAATAGTGCAAATATAGGGCATTGTCATTTTTCGTACGTATATTGCTCTCTCTGTCGGTGCGAACTTGCAGAATTGTGATCCGAGCATCGTAATTATGTGTATCGTGCTCCCAAAAATTCTGTCGTTTGAGAAAGACGCCAACAGAAAATTGAATTTATTTCTTACAGAAAAAGTAATCAGACATTAGTTATCATAAATAATAGAGTCTAAACCGAGGCAAGCTCCATTAAAGAAGCTTTGAAAAGGTCAGAGGGATGAAATAGTTTTTGTTTAAACAATTGTAAATTGAAAATATCAAACACCTATATCAGTTTTTCTAATTTTCCTACGAATTCAATTGTTTATTTTTAAATACAATTTTAAATGCAATTTTACTAAACTTTATTCTTTGTGACTTTTCGTCTAAGGAGTTACATAAAAGTTCTGTAATCATTACAGAACAATCATAGCTCCTTGAAAATAAAAAAAAGGTTTATACAAAATAAAGTGTTTTAAAAAACGCATCAAATTGTTAAAATTTGTTTAAGACTTACCCTGAAACCAACACTTATCTTTGTTAAAGTCGGGCTTTATAAAATTATCTGGAATGTTTGGAAGCGATTCCATCAAACAACAACCGAGCGTTAATAGTGAAGAACATCCCCATGCGTAAATTGAATACAAGATAAATTTTCTGCTTTCTCGTTGCTTATAACTTCCTTGTGAAATTCTAAAACCACTAGAACATAAAAATAAGTCGCTGGATTATAAGGGGGAACTTAGTATGCGCCTGTATAGGTAGATAAAGTGATCATAATACGTCTGACTTGCATAAAATAAATAATCTACGTTGAAAATTCTTGTCTAAGTTTAAATATAAAAGTTCACGTCAATTTTCTTACAAAAGTTTCTGAAACTGGGATTGAAACAGTAAAAATATACATGAAGTCATACAGGGTCACGCACAAACATTTTTCCATTTAAGATATTATTTACTAGTTCATGTACGTGTTTGTGTACCAGTCCGTGTATCATAATTTCTTTAATTTAGAAAATGCTAACTCTTATTATAGCACTATAAAACTTTATACATATAAGTTAGTTGCGATTTATTAACTCGTTTTATTATTAGCAAATTTTGCAATAAAATCTTATTCTCTGTATGAAAACAAATAAAAAATCTTGTTCTTTATATTAGTTTCTTTATACGACTCGATTAGTCTATATAAAGTATATTTATATTGTATTGGAAATTAAGAGATTTAATCACAGTTAAAGCTAAAAATTTCATTTTTTCCATAAAAATCTTTTCTTTATTATTCAAACGAATGGATTGGACAGTTAGCGACTCCAAAAACATGAGATAGCCTACTTGATTATATAGGGGATTTAAATAATAGTAGGTTTTGTCATTTGTCATTTCATTTAATTTACTTACCTAAAAGTCCACCATATGTCAAAACACATTACGTTTAGCCAGAAGAAACTAGCAATAAATGAGAAGTACATGATGTAAGCTGGAACAAAAAACATTTGTTTAAAGGATTAAAGTGTGCATATTAAGTGCCCAAAAATACATGCGAATAATAAAAAGTTGGAAATGTTATGCTCTCACCCCCAACAAATTTTTTATATCGAAAAATACCTTTATTTTTCTTATTCTTTCTTTTTAATATTAAGATGTCAAAGGTTTCCCGTGCATAATGCATGGGGAAAAAACTTTTTAAAAAAATGTTCACCATTTTGAATTTTGGAGATCTGATATCAGCTTCATAGTCATCAACCTCAAAAACCATCGAGTAAAAAGTTTTGGACTAATGCGTCTGTTTATTTAACTGAAAATGGCTTTGCGTGTATTCACTTCACGTTTTTAGGCAGTAAGTCTTCGCCACCAAATATATACGAATGCATCAAAGAATCATCAATTTGCCTAGGTATTAAGTGGAGTGCCCGATGTAAATTCAGCATTTAGATTAATCATATCACATCAGAATGCAATTACGGCATGAACAAAAAACATTGCAAAAGTCAAGCGTAATTTAATATACAGTAGAGACCCCATTACCCGGACTAATGAATGCAGGCACCTATCCGAATAATCGAAAAAAGTACAAAATAAACGAATTTTCGATTTATAATTTTAGGTATTTATTTGCATATGTATTTAAATATAGACTGAAACGAAATAAAACTCTTAAAGTCAACATTAATGAATGTTTAGTTAGAAATATTTCAAAAAATCTACATAAACATTTTCTTAAAATTATTAAAAAACTTGAAATACATAAAACGCAATGTTTCGTGTGAAAATTCAAAATTTATGGTATTATGGACATTTGTTTGATCCCCCTTCCCCCATCGTGGACAATCGTTGATTTTTGACGAGCATCCCCTTCCCCCAAAACTCCACGTGGTATTTAAACAACCCCATTAATAAGCTGTGCTTTTATGGCTCATTAGTTAGAATTGATTTCACTTTCTTAAATTGCTTTCTGTCGCACATATCTGCGAATCTAATTTCTCTTTAAATATTTTTTCAAACACTCCCATTATTTAAAATTAAAGTCTCAAAAATTTAAGATATCAATTTATAAATAATATAAAATAAATTATAAATAATCATATAATTATAAATGACATAAAATTAAAAATATTATCTTTTAAATATAATTATACTAAAGTCTACCACGTAGAAAATAATAAATCAAATTTAATTTATTTTGCTATCTACATTAATAAAAATGATTATACAAAATTAATTTTTTTAATTATTGCATCCTGATGTGATAAATGTGAATGCCGAATCCGCAACGCAAATAGACGATTCTTTCATGCATTCCTCGATGTGCCGTCATGTCAGTAAGCTTACTGCCTGATTCATTTACTTGTCGCGAAAGGGTTAAAATATGCAACAGTATGTGACGCGCTCCAATCGAAGGTACCTAAGATGAAAATCATTTCAAGTTAATGCTTGTGTTATTTCTATCATAATTAAAAGTTTATAATTATTTAATTGTGTTAATATAAAATCAGTTCTTATTCATTATTTTAGATGTAATAAAGAATTGAACATCAGCGGTTCATATTTAGACTTGATCTTCTTTGTGTACTATTATTCAAAAAATTACAAACGTACACTAAAATTTTGTGCGTTTAATTTCATCTATTGTTATATGTTATTTATATTTATATTGACGATATTTAAGAAGTTTAACGTAAAGCATCTCAAATATTTTTGATCTCAACAAACATTAAGAGTAAAAATTTCTGAAGTAGGTTTCTTATTTTGCAAAATATTTTACAGCATGTCAATATAAAAATATTCCTGAAATGCGTTGACAAAAAAGTTAATTTTTTATTAATTTATTTAACAATTTAATTTTTTTTCCTGTTTTACTAAATTTGCGATTACTTTGTAGCTAAAAATAATTTTGTCGATTTATTTAATGTGGTTTTTTTGAAGAAGTAACTGTAAACACATAAATTAAAGAAGATATTTTTTTATTTTTTCATTTCGACTTTCTGGCTAGTTTATAAAATTTAATATAATTTTGTGGGCACATAAAGAGATAAAGTCTCTTTGAATTGCAATAAAAATGTCCATAAACCTTTATTGTTTATGGGTCAAACCATTATATTTCGAATAAAGTCGTTGCGGCCTAATTTTTTAAAAAATTGATTTATATAGAAATGAATCTGTACGACCTCTGGGGCTCTGGAGAATGAAATAAAAAGAATTATGTTAAAATATTTATTACTTTTCTTTAAATATTAGTGTAAAGTGGAGAAGGTGCTGAAAAATGACACTTTTTAGCAATTAGAAAATATGTGTAAAAAAGCATAGCAAAATTCTTAAAAGTGCAAAAGGAATTATTGATTCTTGTTTAAAATTAGTTGAATTTTTGCGTAATTTGCAAAATTAGTTTCTTTAATGGACCTACTTTAAAAACATATTTTATCTATTATTTTTATATGTTCACTAGTTTAATTATTCAAAAATAATTAATCAACTATATAATTGTAAACAAGATATATTTGTATTTCATATTATTTCTTAAAAAATGAATTTATTTCCAAATATTTCATTTATAAAAAACTATAATTTTTGGTAAATTAAAAAGATTTTTTTTAAAATCAAATTTTGTCATAGCAATTTCATTACATAATTAGCTTTAAAATAAATTAATCAATAAGTTTCCAAGCTTAAATTTATCTTTTTACTTGACCTTTACATTAAACGTATTAGAGCAGAGAAACTAGGAACCAGAGTTTACAAACTTATTAATAAAATCATTTATTGAAAACATAATTTAATAAAACCATTTATGGAAATACATATATAAAATACACAAAAGTTATTCCTTTTGAATTTAACTGTCGAAGACCAAATTAAAAAAAAATGTTAATCCGACCATATGGATAAAAAAATTGTTTATCTTGCCCAAGGCGCATGTAATATTGCGTTGACATTATTGTAATATTACATTGGATTCTTAGTATTACCTGTAATATCACAGTGAACTTACTGGGATATCAAAATTTCTGCAGCGTGGTAATATTATATAGTAACATTATACCTAAATATTAATTGTAATATATTTACGTAATGTTACATGTAATTTTACTTCTTGAAGTGAGATAATTTTTTAAAAATAAGTCAACGTGAAATAGAAATGAAAACCAATAAACAGGGGACATTTTAATTTCCTGTTCGCAATCGGCATTTTCACTCTGTAAAACAATCACTCGTTTTATTTTTAATGCCAACTTGGGTCAATAAACGTGATTTCAAAAAATTCAGAAGAAAAGAATTCACCAGAAGGAAAAATAATTCACGGTAACGTCTCAATTCGATTTAAACGCGAATCCAAATTCAGCTTATGTTACTCGCAATTATTTTTGTTACTATATAGATATTTTTTATTTTCTGGCACTTGCTTTTTTTAAAAAATCGCGATTTAAAAACTCGTACATTTTTGGATTGTCCGCGTGCAGTACTAATAGAGTAACAGATATTTAATCTCCCATTAAAATTTTTAGTTAGAATATTTATATTAGCCAGAATTTTGTTAGATACAATTTTCATATTGAATGCAGCATTATTGGAGTGACTCTTGTGACGCCACTTTGTGTCGGTTGCAGTGGTTTATTAGGAGAGGAGCAATAAATAAACAAAAATCGCGCTCGGGTACAAATCACTCACAATCAGTTTGCATCGAACGGCAGAAAAACCCCTTCAGATTAAATTTTTTAAAATCGATTGTGCATAATTTGTCTTACAATATTATTTAAAGAAATATTAAAATAAGTGTTATAAGTTTTATTTTAGAAGATTAATAATGATTTGAAGATAAAATTAGGAATTTTTTATTTTAATTCAAGTCTTATTCTGTTAAAAAAGCTGCTGTATTCAATTGGCAAAAAACTTTTTTCTGGAATGGATTAAAAAGGGGAATTTTATTTATAATTATTTGTATTATTACTTCCTCATAGAGGAAGTATTGTAATACCGAAATTTTTCGAGTTCGATTTTTTGACATATCTTTATGTTATTTGACCTCAGGAGTTCAAAAATGACATTTTTATAAAATGTCATTCCGTATGTGTGTTTGTGTGTGTGTGTATAAATAACATCACATTTTCATAAATATCTCGAAATCATAAAGAGCTTTTGGGCTGGATTTTTTTTTAAATTGTAGATCTCACCTGCGGACATAAAATGAGAGTACTTTGAGATAGATTAATAAAGTTTAACTAAATTTTTTTTGGATTTTTAATTTTGCAAAAAAACGTTTTTTGCCCATAACTAAAAAAATGTTAGGACACCTATAAATGTTTTTCCATGATTTTGTAGAGTTTTTTTAGACGCATCTTTTGAGCCCTAATTGAACATTTTTCGTCCATATTAACCAGAGATATTAAACTTTTAAAAATTCAAAATTTTGGAAAATAAGACTTTTTTGAAAATTTTGTTGAAAAATGTAGAAGTAATCTTAAAATTATCGTTACCGACTTGTAGAGCATTAAAAAACGCTTCGATTGACCTATTTTTGAACCTACTTCGATAATAAATTTCGAAATTATTGGTATTTTAAAAACCAAAAATTGTGAAAAATGACATTTTCTCAACTTTTTTGTTTGAAAATTTTTGTTTAACTATTAAATTATTGTAACTATCTTGTAGGGTATTTAAAAATACATTGATTGACTCAAAATTCAATCACTTTTACTATATTTATGAAAAGTTATTCATATATTTCTATTATTTTTATCTCTATGAGGAAGTAAAGTGTTCATGAAATGAGCACCAAAATTATAAAAAAAATACAACTTGGCAGCGGTTTTTTATTATTATTTATTTATATATTTTTTATTTTATTACTATTATTTTAAAATTCACCTTTTAGTTTTTCAAAAACCTATAAAATTTGAAAATATAATTTTTTTTATAAAAATATTGATATTTTGAAAAAGATTTGTTATTTCATTGTTAATTCTTAAATATTTTTAAAGAAATTTGTGTCATTGAAATTGTGTTTTTCTTATTCGTAAGAAAATTTCCTACCGATTTAGACATTTTCTGTATTATTTCGGGTCAAAGAAAAATTTCTTTGATTTAAAGAAATTATTCATTATTCTTGTTTCGTTGACTAAATCCCACTTGATCCACCTCTATAGATAAATGTCTGTCTGATAAATTTATCGCATGTCATTTCTTATGGCTATCTGTCAGTTAAAGTTAACCGAAAACTAAATCAATGAGGGCTAAAAAATATTTCTTATTTAGTTTAAAAAAATCTTCAATATTTGAATCAGTCTACGCGTAATCGCAGAAACTTCAGCGGTGGCGAAAAATGTGAAGAAATGAAAGAATTTCTTTATTTTAAAGAAATATTTTTTTGGGCGTACAATCACATTTAAAACATATAATATACATTGGATGAGAAATAAATTCTAACGCAAAGAGGATCGAACCGATTAACTATGCACTTTAATCTAAAGCATTAACTATACTACGCTACAGACGCAGACGGTCATCCATAGTACAAGAATCCTGTAAAAGGTCGAAGTTTATGTATGCAGCACCAAACATTACTAATATGCTATATTTATTAAATGTGATTATAAAATTTTCATAATTCCCATTTTTTTCAACAATCATATATTTTTAAAACTTATGTTAAGTATGGCAAAAGTTTTTCTTTATTTTATTTGAATTTAAAAATTTTATTTTCATTCCACAGTACCATTGCAGCATGAAATCAACTAATGCAAAAACGCATATAGATTGTAACGATATTTTTGCGCTTTAAATTAATTTAAAAGAATTCTTTAGCGTTTATTTTACTTGGATTCAGATTTTTGAGGTGCACGTGTGTTTTTTTCTTATATTAGACCAACAGGTAAATAAAGAGGAATATTGATATGAACCTATGCTGGTTAGTGGTTTTTACAAGATATGAACACCATATCTTTTTACAAATCTTTGCCTCCAAAAACTGATACGAAAAACAAAGTTTTATACTGAGAATTCCTTTCGTAAAATAAAAAATGAAGAAAAAGTAGGTACTCACCTAGGAAAAGGCAGACACTGTGATGCGATAGATACTCAAAGTCAAACTTGTGAATAACTAAGCCAGTATACGCTGCAATGAGACTAGCCATATGACACATTAATGTCTTTCCATGTAAATTATGAAGCTCTGGCACTATTGCATACACCATGAAAGTAATTAGCAGAAACAAGACAGAAATAATCATGCCAATTGGATGAGTATTTTCGGCAACAGTTTTATAGTCGTCTTCACAAAGTACGGCTGAGAAGTTGTATATATAATCCGTCCAGTCCAAGCAGTAATCAGAAGGTAAATAATACTCTCCCGACCCCCTTTCAAGTGTACCATTCTTGAAGAGGAGAAACATATCTTCAGGATACTCTGGATTGAGGATTATTCTCGTCAATCCACTTGGACACACAACCATACTTTCTACTATGTGAAAAGCTTCTTCGAAACTACCAGTCTCCCACAAGTCAGGAACTAACTTTTGATTATCAAGTCTCAACGAAGGTAACGAACCATTAATAGTTTTAAAATCAACACATGAACTTCCATGCAACACTTTTCCAACTTGACAACATTTTCTGATGCAGGCTTTCGATAAATAATCGCACATACATCCATAAGTATTGTTACTTTCATGGTCAACCCAATAAAAATCTGGTAAGTAAGATGCGTGTCCATCGATCAGAGTTTTGTTGGTTAATATGGTGTAATTGGAGAGACGTTTTGTTAGTGCCGTGGGACAGGGTAAATGCTTCATTTCTTGACAACATAATTGCATTACAATACTGAACAGTAAAATAAGAATACCAAATTTGTTTCTACTCATTGCTATTATTTTCATTTTTGTATACATTTTAATAATTATTATTCTCTATAAACACCGCTAATTTAAACTCCATTGATTAAAATTAGTACTCTAATTATTTTAAAGTCATCACTTTGCAAACGTTTAATTTTAATAGTAACGTTTTTAAGTTGTTGATATTAATTCGTAACTTTAAAACAATACTCGAAGACGTTATAAACTACATGATTACTCTAATTTTTAAAATTATTGAGAATAATGAAAGTTCCATTTAATTGTTGAATTTATTAAATTTCCATCATTATAATTGAGTCCATTTAATTATTGAATGCCCTCTCTAATGCATTTAAAGAATTGAAAAATTTTGAAAAGGAACTGTTTCTGTCAACTACTCGCAAAGAACTAGTGTAAAGAGGCATGCGATTGTTTGAATGTCGATAAGAGCCTGTATAAAAGCAACGGTGAGTCTTTGCGCGGGCGCACAGAAACATCCACTTAATTTAGGTTTTCAATTCAGATGAAGATAAAAATATCTAATTTCTAATTAATAACTCTTTGAGAAGCACATTTTTATTTATTCGCGCATAGAAATTAATTAAAAAGCTGCTGAGAACAGTAACGAAAATCAATTTCGCAAACATTTGTAAACTTTTGTTATTGATTTATTTTTTCATTCGCATAGGAACTTGCGTTTGATATTATTTTTAAAAAATTGATAAGAGAATTGCAAGAATAACATATGTTCACATTTTCGATAAAACATTTGTCTATTATATGCTATTTACTTTATTTGCAATTCGCGTTTTCTGTTTTGAAGTCTCTTTTTGAAAAAAATGAGGCCACGTTTTCTGGATTCTCTTACCATTATATTATTTATAAATAAAAAATACTATTAAAATCGGTATTTAATAAAATTCGAGGTTGTGAAATATTTATTAAAAAATACGTTATTTTACATAACGCACGATCATTTAAAACGAGTTACTGTTAAAATATATAGAAATAATATTTGAATTTTGAGCAATCTGCCATCGCTGGAGTTGACTGCATAGAAACGTCATGGAATCTACTTATATTCTTCTCTGATCTCTATTCTTACACCTCTATGGTTGGCTAAGGAACTGTTTATACAATTGTGACGTAACACAAAATCCAACATCCTTCCTCTTTTTGTCACCTTCTCTCTTCTTTTATATGTGACTACGCAATATTTTTGAAACCAATTTAAAGTCTTTATAATTTTTATGTTATAAACTTTTATTACATTTTTCACTTACAGGGTTTACAAAAAGTTGTTTAGTTTTGCTAACAATTTCTGTGTAATTGGTTTTACTACTTTTGATGTAGTTAAAGAATAATAGTTCAGATGACTAAAAAAAGTAGTTAAATTACAAGAACAACTACAAAATCTGATCACACCAATTACATTATTAGTTCTTTTTACTACTTTTCGGTAGTCAATATAACTTTTTAAATAAATTAAGTTGAGGACCTCAAGGCCGGATTTACTTGACAGGAGGCTCTAGGCAATCCTGGTGGGGGCCCCTTGTAAGGAAAGGGTTTTTTAAAAATTTAGCAACATTAAAATATTGAGTAAAGTATATTTTTTATATTAATTAAGCGAACTACTTAAATTTCTAAACACTTGAGGGGAGGTTCTCATTGCGGAGGCCAAAATCACCACAAACTTTGACAATTTTTTGCGGGGAACGGCTATGACTTAGCGATGTAGTTTTTTTTAAATAAAGATACATCCTTAAACTTTTAAAACATACCCAGGTGCGAATTTAGGTTGGCCGCCAGAGTTTGAAGGTTGGCCCAAGGTTGGCCTAACTTTGGCAAGCGAAGTTTTGGTTGCCAGAGTTTGCCCAACTTTGGCAAGTACTAGTGCCCACAGTTGGCCCGACTTTGCAAGCCAACCATTAAATACAGAGTTTAGCCAACCGTCGGGCCAACTTTGGCGACAAAGGTTGGCACAACTCATCAGAATGTCGTTCAAAAGACTTTCAGTTTCGGTTGGCCGAACTCTGGGCCACGGTTGGCCCGACGGTTGGCAAAACTTTGTCAAATGCAGTTTAAATGACTTAAACTTTCTTGGTCGGCCGAACTCTGGGCCAAGCGAGCGTTAGATATTTTCGAAAATGTATGTATGAGATTGTGTTTAATAATAATAGGTAAAGGTTATATCTGATGTTCCCGCTAATAATAACCTGTTAATTGTTTAAATAATTTAGTTTTTTTAATAATTTTTTACCTTTGGCAGTTGAAGTTGGCCAAACTTTTAAAATTGTGGTTGGCCCAACTTACGCCTCTAAAGTTGTGCCAACTTTGGCGTCAGTTTTTGGACCAATCATTGAAATGTATAGTTGGCACAACATATGCATTTTAAGTTGGGCCAACTTCGTTAAAAGTAGTCGGGCCAACCATCGTCGCCATTAGACGGTGAACCGTTATCATCTGTATGGTTGGCCCAACCCCTGGCACGAGAATTTGGACCGACTTTGTAAAAGTTGGCCCAACTATGGGCCGACCAAAAAATCGCACCTGGGTATATTTTATTTTCAAAAAAATGCGAAATGGCGGCCAATATGGCGCATCTAGAAAACGATGTTTTTTTTAAATAGGGAAAAGGTGGGCATTCTACACTGCGCAATTTTTAGTTTAAAACAAAAACTCAAAATTTTTTTAAAGATGGCATTATAAAGAATAGGTTATACTTATAAAATAGTTAAAAAGTTAAACAAATGACAAAATGCCGGACACTTTATAAAAAAAACTGCGTTTTTGCATTAATTTTTCATGTTTGACCTCTTGTAAAAAATCTCTATTTTTAAACATTGCATCATATTATAGGTATAACCCCAGTAGAATTTAGTTACCTTTAATTAGCCGCAAACCCGAAGTTGATTGATTAAATAGTTTAGACTCTACGATGCCCACGAGTTTGAAAAATCAGCGGTTTCGAGAAAAACGCGTTTAAAGTTTAAGAAACATTTTTGTGTAATAATTGTATTCTTTGCAATTCTTTGTTCAATTTGCGTATATGATAAATAGGGGAGAGTGGGGCAAAATGGGGTAGGCGGGTCAAATGGGGTACCTCTGTTTTTCCATGATAGGTACTTTTAATTATTTTATCCTCGACATATATAATTCATGTTGATAAGAAACTGTTATTAATTATGAAGACACTCAACAAAAAATTTTTTTTTGAAAGTTATACAACTTTTAAGTTAAGTTTAAAGCAAAAAAAATATGAATGTTTCTTGAAATTAACGTGCTTACAAAACTTTTTGGGATAATGCATTTAATTTGGCAAGTGTGGTATCTTTTTCAGTACTTATTCTAGAGTAATTTCCAATAGAATAGATTGTTTAATTGTTTACAATAACTTGTAAACATTGCATTTTGTTTTAATATGCAGTGTGGGGCAGAATGGGGTACCTAAGTGTGGGGCATGCCGGAAGCTACGCCGTTTCATTAAAACTATTTAAAAACATTATATTATGTATATATTTAAAGGTTTCCTGCAGAAGAAGCGATATTTTTGTTTCGAGACATTTATACTATCGATGTTTCACTATCGATATATTGATATTTTGCAATACCGATGTTTTTTTGTTAAATTCTAATAAATATTACTTTTTTTTTCATAGTAATATAGAATCCTACTTTTTGTTTGTGTTTATAATCTCATACAACAAGAATTTAATGAATTTTGAAAAAATATTTCATGTTTTGTATACTTATTTGATGCCACCATTTGGGATTTTAGCACTTTCTCAGAAAATACGATATAAGTTCTTTCAAAAATTTTTTTCTCCGCTATTATCATAATTTCCTCAAAGCTAAGTGTACAAAGAACAATTTTGAAGTTTAGCTGAATCGGTTTATTCGTTTGGTTCTCTGTAAACAGACAATTTCAAAAAGGTACCCCATTTTGCCCCACTCTCCCCTATCTATAGGTTTTAAGGGTCGCTGTTTACGATTCTGAGGTCAGATTTGCAAAATTTTTAAAAATCGATTTGATTTGCCTGACATTTGTTACTCAGTGCTCGGGACGCCGGTGAGTTCAAGACTCTATAATAAAAAAGAAATCAATTTTTTTGACTCCCGCAATCAACCCCCTCCCCCCTTAAAATTTCAAGGCGCAAAAAGCTTTCACAAAATCATGTATTTAGTGTCCGAGCGAAAAATAATTTAAAAAATTATATTACAACTAAGAAGTTTACGATGGCAGGGGTCTACTTCACTGACAACCAACTTTAATAAAAATTTGAGTGAGTTCGTTGTCATATAGTGACCCTTTTTGATATCACAGCAAGGCAAACTTGTAAGCTATGTGTCCCTATTTCAACTAAACAAGTTTTCATGCGTGTAAGTTATTTTAAAATTTTCGCATAAATACATGTTTTGTCCTTTTTTGAAAATTTTGTTTTTTTACTGGGGCTAAATGTTAAATTCTATTTATAAACCTACTAAAACTATTTTCTGATAGGTGTTAAGTAGTAGATAAGTTAAAGCATTACGTAAACAAGTAATTTAGTTAATAAATTGAAATGTAAAAAAAAAATTTTTTGGTTTACTTCACGTGAACGGTCTTGTTTTTTGACAGAGTACTTGCCTAATGTCAAATAAATAATTTTTAAACAAATAAACCCAAAAAAAATTTTTAACAACATGTAAAAATACATTTAACATTTCGCCCCAGGGTGCGTTTTTGGCTTTAAGAACAAACATAAAAAATCTGACTAAAGATATTTAGCAAATACCTTTAGGTATCTCTTCAGGGGACCCCAATAAGGACCTAAAAAAATCGCGATGAGAATAAATTCAAAAAATATACTTAAAAGTTGATATTTTCTTTTATGAAAAAATTTTTAAAAGTAGGGTGAAAAAAAATTTAAATATGGACACCATAAAAATGAACAGAATGTTACATAACTCCGGACATATTTATTTAGAGTGATAACACCCTTCTATAATTAAAATTGCAATGCTCTAACTATTTCCGTTCGAAAGATAATGAATTTTAACTGTTTTCACAGTTTAACCTTTCGCCCCAGTCTCCCCTATATTCTAATTATAATAATTATTAAATATATTTTAATTATAATATTATGTATTTATATACCTATATTCAATTAGGATATGCGGGACATTCTCTGTAAAACAGACACCCTCCTCTGCCCAAAATGGGTTTGAAAATAAAAGAACATTCATTTTGAAAACCTATAGCTTGGGATATGCAGTTACTTTTGCTATATGGCCTTTTTTATGTATGTATAAGCTACATGACATGCATATTCGTTAATGCATATTCAGTGGGTATAGATGTACCTACGTGTATATGTGAATTCTTCCATTCCCCTCATCAGTTCCTCTAGTACCTTATATTATTCCTGCAATTCGATAAATGCACGGCAGGTATAACTACACTACAAAAATTAGTATAGTTTTTAAAGTGCTTTAAAAAAACACTTTTTTCTAAATTATAAAATAGTATATTAAAATATATCGAATTTATTTCGACTATGTATATCGATTTCTTTTATATCTAAGAAAAAATAAAACACAAAAATTAAAATTCTTTCTTTGTTATTTATTTATATATCTATTAAATTATTATAGTTTTCAATTTTGATAATATGACGCAATTTTTACTCATATACCTATTCATAGAATTAAAAAAATGTCAAATTTCAGAGATTATGAAAAAATTTCAATTCTTTTCTATTCTAGCCTTATTACCGAGTATATGTACGTTTGAAAATAAGCACACGACTTCCGGAAAAGTTCCGAAAATATTCCGGAAGTCACTTCCGGAAATCTTTCCACATGGATTATTTTTTATCATTTTTAATTCCCTTCATATTATGGATTTAAGTTTACTTGTAAATAGGATTAGGTAATTAAATTGTAATTGCGTTTCTCCATTTGGTAATAAAAAGAAACAGAATTGATTTATGTCAAACAAATAGTTTGAACAGATTAATAAATTATTTTCTAATTCATCCAATCCAACAAAGCAAAAATTATTATACAGTTCATATAACAAAACTATTTTATTATCACATGATTGTTTTCATTAAAAAAGTAATAATAAAATTATTAGGAGTATCCATTAAAATTTATTCAGAAAACTTTTTAAATTCGTTCTTATGAATTTCTTCTACCAAAAAGTAATTGATAGTAGGCAATCTAAAACTGATTTATTCATCCAATTTCGATTATCACAAGCCAAGGAGCTTTACGGCACGAGATATATGTAACAAATAAAAATGATTGCATTATAAAGATGCATTAACCAATATAGGTGAAATTCACGTGGAATCATTTTTAAACATAAAATAAATGGTGTTAATCATGCTTTTGTTATTCATGCAAGTAAGAAAAAGTTTTGTCCATTTAAAAGAATAAATATTTCTTTTCTTGTAAAACATTAAATAAGGCAAGAAACTTGATGAAATTGTTGTTGCATACATAAACCCACACAGCATCGAAACTTTCCTATAAATCTTTAATAAATTTTTAGATGCGCTTTTAGGTGCTGCGCGTGTGAAATATTTGGAAACTTCATTTTTCTTCTTTCTCTTATTACATTTGCAACTGCTACTTTTCTATTATTAATTATTTAAAAAGCATATTGCTTCTTTATAGTGGACACTGCATATTAGTTTTAATGTTTAGGACATAAACGTATATTTATTATTGATTAGTTGATATGAAGTTCTATGAATTTCAGGGTCAAACAAAAAGTTTACCTGGTTACAGTAGGAATCTGATAAACTGTATAAAGCATGATCAAAAAATGTCCTATCTACATAGAAATAGTATGTAGCACATGTAAAAATATTCACCCATCCCAAACGTCCAATGAATTAAGATTACTGAAGCGTGAATTTTAACGCTGTATGTCGTGTTACTAAATTCAAAGGGATGTGTTGATAGAATATACAAAGAGTACACACACTACACCATAATTTAATACACCATTGCATTGCACCGTACCATTCAGTCCCAACTGTTTTTAATTTCAGTTATAGTTTACATTATTCTGTTAGTCAGTGATTCGCATAGTGGACGTTACAGTGTATATGTTTTATGTGATTTATTTTTAGTTCTCACCCACTGCAAATATTTTCAAAAATGTCCTTTCAAATTCATTATGCAGTAAATATTTTTTCTTAAGGTGTTCAAACAGAGTGTGGTTTTCAATTTATAAACAATATCATAAAATTATAACGTACCGTACAATTAATATTTAGATATAAAACATTTTTCTACGTGCAATCGAGATTTATTTGTTGAGAAAATCTTATGGATAATGATATTACTAATTAAATAGTTAATTAATTTATTATTATTAATAATTGAAAATAATTTTAAAAATTAATTAAATAAAATTTTACTTTATAATACTTAAAAATTATAAATGTTTGTATAAAAGGATTAAGTATTTACATTGCTTATTTTGAAATTTCCTAAGTGTTCTAACCACTTGTTAGCTTATTGTGAATCCAAATGACAAGATGAAATATAAGTTTTTTCTATTCAACATGGTTCATGCAATCACCATTCTAACAATTTTAAAAATGCTTGCTAATGGTAAGTAAATAATTTAAAAATATCTTTTTATGGTCCATACTAACCCTCTGCAACAGAATTAGAAACACATCATTCTCACCTAACAAAAAACAATACTAATTTTTGAAAATCTGCCATTTTAAGTGAGACCGGAGTTTACATGTATAATAAACAATACAAATCGATTAAAAATGCTTTTTTTCAATGATAGGATCATAATATTCCTATAGATTCTTCATCATATCGCTGAATACGAACCTATAACTTCGAGGAGGATTCATCAAGTCGAGATTTTGATAAAAATGATTGGTCTGTTAATGGGCACACCTAGTGTGAGTGATTGAAAAAAACGTCGACGGTCGATTTTTAGGAATTTTTTTCAGGGAAATTATTGCATCTAATTTTTTTTAAAGTTTTGTACATGTATATTTGTATAAATAGTGAACATTTTGTAATTTTTTCAAAGAAAAATATCTTTTTTTTAAAGAGTTATTCGCTATATCCAAAAAAAACCAGTTTTCCCACTGCTGCAGTTATTGCGGCCTTCTGAGTGACTGAAATTAAAAAAAACCAAAAAGATTATTAAACTAGAAGATATTTGCCGTACAATGAGGCTCCAGTTTTTTGATTGGATGAAAAATAAAATTTTGGGATGCCAAAAACCATCGGATTTTTTTGGCGAAATTTAAAAGCTTTTTTCAAAACTCCGCCATTTTGTTGCAATTCAATATTTTTTGACATCCGAGGGTCATTGTACGGCAAATATCATCTAGTTTAATAATCTTTTTGGTTTTTTTGATTTAGGTCACTGAGAAGGCCGCAACCACTGCAGCAGTGGGAGAACTTTTTTTTCGGATACTCAGGAGATAGCGAATAACTTTTTAAAAAAAAGATATTTTTCTTTAAAAAAACTACAAAATGTTCACTATTTATACAAATATACATGTACAAAACTTTAAAAAAAATTAGAAGCAATAATTTCCCTGAAAAAAATTCCTAAAAATCACCGTTTTTTTTCAGTCACTCACACTAGGTGTGCCCCTTAAGGATTTAATCATTGATTAACTTTTAATCGGTGTTGGTGAAACTGGCCCTGAGTCTCTCTACCTCTAAAAAAATGTTGGTACTTGAAAGCCATTTAGTCCTAAAATCGCTCCGTCTGCTGTTCCAACCCTATGGGCAAAAAGCCATAATTTTTTCAAAAACGTTCTTAAAACATTTTTAGAATGTTGCATGTCCGCCAAATAATGTTCCAAAACATTTTAAGAACAGGGATGTTTAAATAATGTTCTAGAACACATTTTGGCGGACATAAAACGTTCGAAAAACATTTTAAGATCGCTTTTGGAACGAACATGGTTTTCCTGCTCAGATGAAAGATATTGGGGCAATGGGTAGGAACTTCTGATACACCACCGTTTTTCCGTGTTAAAGTAAAGCTTCAACATTCAGTTAACAAAATCAAATAAAAAAAATTGTAAAATTATAACTTTTAAATAAATACCGTTCTATAAGTGCGCAAATAGAGTGATTAAACAGTGATTTTACATGAAAATGTTTACTTGATTCAGCTAGGGTTTTTTCCATTTGATACATTTAAATGAAGGTTCATTAACTTTATAATTTAAGCATAAGAAGATACTTCTAACTCAGAATTACTTTTTTCATTTGATTAAAAGCACGTTAAAACAGTGTTTTTTGGGACTTTGAGTCCACTTTCAAAATCTCAACGTGATGGGCACTTTTTAAGGTCAGATTTGTATTCAACAATGAAAAATTTATAAGAATATAATGGTTCTATCCGTGAATTCTTTTGGGTATCGCCTTTTGTTATTATTATCCAGGCTTCACAGTGCCTCTAAAAAGTATTTTAGGGAAAATAGGGGACTTTCAGTGGACCATAGAAATTAGTTAAATAAAGATAAAAATATAATTTATTTATACAGGGTTGCCACAAAAATTTAACTTTATTTTTCCCTGAGTTTTCCCTGATTTCCAAACACAACTTTCACTTTTTCCCTGACCCTAAAGAATATTCTCATTCACTATAAAAATTATTAGATCCTACTCAAAAAAATCCTATTATAAGAAATCTCTAAACGAAAATCTCTCGAAATATCTCGAAGTATAGTAACGCCTATCCCATTGGTTGCTTTCACTCGTGAGCTATACTCAATTGGCTGAATTCATATTTTCTATCTTTGTCTTTTAAACACTTGAAATAGAGAGGTTCATTCACTCACTATACGAACATATACTTACACATTAAAGTAAAAGTAGTGTGCGTAAAGTCCAACGCACAATAGGTTCGTGAAAGTCGTTCGCGAAAGAGACGCATGAGATAGAAAAGGACACAAATATATCTCTGTCCTTTTCTAACTCATGCTTTGCGTTCGCGAACGACTTTCGCGAACCTATTGTGCTCAGGCCTTAAGAGGGCTATATTCCCTTTATCCAAATCTTTTTCATCATCTTCGTCTTTCAAGTACTTAAAAATCTCAATCTATTTTGGAAATATGTTCGTGAAAATCGTAATCTTAATTAACGCGATTCCTTTAGATATAATTATTGACGTAATAAAGTGATTTAATCCAATTAAATAAATTATAAATTAATAAATATGTGCTTTTTAAGGAAACTTATTTATATTTCATTGATTATTATTGATAAGAAATTATTTAGATAAATATAATTGTTAAATAAATTTAATTGAATTAATTTTTAAATGATTAAGTTTTATATATTTAATTTGTGTAAATAATATTAATATAATTAATTTATTCTAATATAAAATATTTAAAATTGTTAAAATTAAATGTTAGAAAATGTTATGAAAGATTAAATTCAATATAAAAAATTTATACATATTTTAATAACTAATAAAATAATTAATTTTACTAATGTCTTTCATTGCAGATAATAAAACGTATATTTATCTGCTTCATCTGAGAAGTGTGTATTATCTATAAATTTAAAAAGATTAATTCTAAAAGAAATTATTAAAGAAATACATAAACCAACAGAGAAAAGAAGGTCAGAAGAAACTGACAACATTAATAATAAATAAAAGTGTTTGGTTATTAAAAGAATTTTATTATTATATAACGTTTTGAAATTAATAATAATTATATTATTGATTTAAAATAAAATATACACTACAGTCAGAAATTGTCGGTACGAACGACGGGCGAGCTAAGAAAAATTGCTGCTGAAATTAAATTAACATAGTTTGTTGTTACAAAATGATAGAAACTTGGTTCTTAGATTGTTTGAAAGCCTATTAAATTCCTTCGACTGATATATAAATAAAAATTATTTTATACTTGTCAGAGATTTTATCACTTAAGATATTTAAAAAAAAAATTGATTAATTTTTCAATTTTCGTGTAATATGTTTGTATGGCTGCACAGTCTAGAAAAATGGGGATCAAAATTAAAAACTCTTATAATATAACATAATCATTATAGTCTCAGCTTTTATTTAAGTCTTTGAAATTTAAAATTTATTCAACAGTTTTTGAAATATCTAAAAAATGTCCAAGTATGTTTTTCTAAAATTTGATTTGATTCCGAATCCTCTAAACTGAATGCATATTTTCCTCTTATATATGGTATAAAAATTAATACTCTTCACTTTAGAGGATTTTTCTCACGCATATTATTTACTAATTACGATTATGAACTTATGAAGGAAAGTTAATTTGATGCACTGAATTAAATGTTTTTAATTAAATAAATATAATTAAAAACTAATAGTTAATTACTTACAATTATTAAAATATTTATTCCTTTATTTATTTCATTTGAATTCAATTTTTCTGACATTTGAACATCAAAAAATTGTTTTGTTCTATTATTAACCACCAAAGAATAAAAATAATATACATTAAATTGGAATATTTTCCTTTGGAGAAGAAAACTTTAGAGGATATTAGAAGAGGATTTTTTCTTTAACTATGAGATTTCTCTTTTTAGGGTGCACGAAATTAGAAAAATTAATCAATTTTTTTCAAAATGTCTTAGGAGATAAATCTCTCAAAAATATAAAATAATATTTATTTACATATCAGTCGACGCAGAATTTAATAGGCTTTCAAACATAATATTTTTAAACATATTTTTTGTTTAAACCAAAACAGAAAATACATTATAATTAAATATAATTATTCAAATAAATAATACTTTTAAATGAAAGCAGTAGATATTTTCTGTATATTGGGATTAAACTTATAAACTAATTTCAATTACAAAATCATCTAAAATTATTTTTGTATTTGAATTAAGTATAATGTTTTCTTAGTGAAGTAGCTATCATTTTCCAATAATAAACTATGTGAATTTAATTTCAGCAGCAATTTTTCTTAGCTCGCCAGTCGTTCGTACTGACAATTTCTAACGGTATATTGTATTTTAAAATTTATTTATTATTAATTTTTTTATTATCCTACAATTTTTTGTTATAAATAAAATTATATTTATATTATAAAAAAGTTTAATAATAAATAATATATAAATAATTAATATATTAATAAGGGTGTCCAGCGGTCAGGGAAGTCAGGGAATTTTAATCAAAATCAGGAATTTTTTTTTAAATTTCATAAGAAATAGATTTTTTTTATTTTTTAAATTTTCAGCCGACCAGATACTTGAATGAGTGAATCACTTTCGTTTATTGGTTCTCTTTCATTTTTGAAATCATCATCAAAAGGCTTTTCTAATTTGGAAAACTTTGTGAAAATGACTTTAATTTTATCTCATGGGAACGCGGCTTTAGATCGTGGTTTTTCAATAAACAAATAATTAAATTATTTTATCTTTGTTTTTTTTAGATTTTATGTGTGTAATACTTTGTTTACAACAAAAGAAGGTTTATAATGATGATAAATAAAGTGTTTAAGTTCACTATCATAAAATTACGTTAATATTTACCAGCTCACATAATTTTTTTTGTTAAAGATTTGTTATAAAAAAGGAAAGGGAAGAGTTAAGGGAAAGTCAGGAAATTTTTTTCTTAGTACTTGCAGGACACCCTGAATTAATTATAAAATAAATGTATATGTATTTTATAAGTAAATAAAATTTATTTTTGAATAAATACCAAGAACCGTTTCGAAATTTTAGTTTCGTTTTAGTTCCTGATTTTTAGTTTCCGTCATTTTTAACTGATTTTCAGTTTAATTCCACTGATTCAAATCGCGAGAATAAAGTCACTGATTCTTAGTCAAATTTCACTAATCTTAAAAGTAGGAATTTCACTGATTCTGATTTAGAGAGTAAATTTCAATAAAATTAGGCCTAATTTTTGATGATTTTGTTCGTATTACTTCATGTAATAAATGTTTTTTATAATAAACAAAATATGATCATTTATTTTATATAAATATGTCTATTTTTTATAAATTATGTTTAATTATTTGATTTTTTAATTATGTTTTGAAAATTAATTTTTCATCGTCAAACTCGAAACACTGTTGGCGCGCGCAATTGTCGTCTAGTGTTCTATTAAATTTATATATTTACTTTCTTCAAAAGTAAAATTATTAATTATCTAAGATATAGGTAATTTGACATATTCTTGTAAGTTCAAAGGTAAACTACTTTTTAAATTCATAAAAATACTATAAAGTATTTATTTTATAAATTTTTTAAATCGCCTAGCTACAGACGGTGTTGCATCAAAAAGCCAAAAATTAAAAAATACCAATGCATTTTTTTAACTTTCGAATTTTTTCAAAAAAGTGTTATAACCTTCGTTCAAGTTGATTTTTTGTAATCGGAAATGCGGCAAAGATTCCAAGTTACGCTAATATACTTAACGAACAGTTCGCCAAGTTTCAATTTGATCGGTCTAGCCGTTTTTAAGTGATGCTCGTACGAAATATCGCTGATAGCAGACATACTTTTTATTTATGACATGTATTTTTGGAATCTGTACTACTTAAGGGCATTTGAACCATTATGACGTCACAGTTTTAGAACACATGCTTTGCGCAAACTGTGATGCCATAATGGTTCAAATGACCTTAAATGATAAATTATGCAAGAAAAAATTAATTTTGAGGAAAACAAAAGACTGATTTTATTAATATAGATAAAGAAAAATAAATATTAATTTAAAAAATTATTTTTAAATAAAAATTATGCATTAATATCAATTAAGAGTGTATATTAATTTGTTTTCAATTTTTTTTTAGTAATTTTTTAAAAGTGTTAATAACGTTTCATTTTTTAACTTAAAGAATATCTTATTTATGAATATAAAATCAATAATTATCAAAATTTCCATTTTTTAATGGTTTAAACATTTTTAAGCTTTCTAATTTTATATTTTAAATTATTAATTTTCTACTATTTTTATTATAAAATTAAAATTAAAATTACCAAAAATACCTACATACCAAGTTTGAATGCAACCGATTACAATTAGATGAGTGCAATTTTTTACAGTTATTGATTTTGATGACCTCCAAAAAATCAGTTTTGGATACCTTTGATTCAATTTTATATTAATGAACTCTGTAAATTGGTCCTCAGTAGATTTAAAACAGCTTTTTTTAAAAAAAAAAAAATCTATAACTGAAAAGCGCCTTTTTTTGATTTAGTTCTTATAGAAATAATAATTGAAAGACCATACATTAAAATAATGGCCAATTCAAGAAATCTGTATATTCAATATATATTTACAAATCAGTGCGTGAAAATTGGATATTTTTCAAAATTTTCGTATGATTTTTTAACCTAAATTTCGAATTCTTTTAAAGTTTCCGATCAATTAATTATATATGAAGATATTTAAATTTTATTTATCCTTAACAAAAACAGAAAGGATAAATATATCTTATAATTGAGCGTATCACATTCACAGCGGTTCCACATGTAGGCGAAATCGTGAGTCGTGTCATGTGTCGCAGTCGCACACCTATTTAGCTTCCCTAGTATGTCGACATAACTCATATAGAAGGATTGTTGGAAAACTTCCGAAAGCAATTTCCGGAAATACTTTGAAATATTCTGGATATTATTATTCTAGAAAAGCATGCGATTCTTAGCATTTATTTTAAATTTGTCAAAATTTTTTACTAAATTTTATAAAATTTAGATAAATTTGAATTTTTACTTAAACAAACCTTTTAATAAAGCCGGATACACGACACATTTCAGTTTTACCATATATAAATTAAATTTTTTTTAAAACAGTATTTTTTAAATATAAAATGGAATATTTATTATTTTTTTGATTGACCTTCCATGACATAGTGTACCATAAGTAACTGAAAAAAGGTTAATATTTTGTAAACCATGCATTTTTCTATTTTCAAGTAACACTATATACAGAATATTTTAGACTTATTTTCTAAGAATTTCCGTCAAAAAAAATTACTTCCGGAAATTTCCCATACTTCCACATGAGAAGGGGAAAGCATTGCGTTAGTTAAGTGCGATGGTGGGGTGTGTGACTGACGATTTCGCCTACATGTGGAACCGCTGTCAATGCAATAAAAGGTCAGGCGCGCGGAAGCACGCTCTAATACCAGTCGGCAGTGTTTCCTCAACTGCAGATATTATCAGCAGATCTACTGACATTTTTCTTTTAAAAATCGATACTGATTTTTTTATTTTTAAATTTTTTTCATATAATTCTATCGATGTTTTAAAAATTGCAAGAATAAAACACAAAGAGATGAGAATCGATTAAAAAGTTTGGAGTTAGGAAGGAGTAGGACTAAACAAGCACATTTTGTTTAAAAATGAGATATTATTTTGTCTAATTTCTAATTTTAAGCTCAAGGGCCCTTAATTAAGTATTTAAATAAATATTAATATGCTGTTCAAATACAAATATTGTACACATTTTATTGTCAATTAACGAAATTAACATCTATGTATAATGGTATATTGTGCAAACAATAATAATTAATATAGTATTTTATTATAGCTCAAACCACCTGCAACAGCGGCTTAGGAAGAGTAGTTTATGAAAGGTTACCGGATCATCAGTTGCAAGACTTTGATGATGACATGGTAAGTTAGTAAATTAATCATTCAAAAATAATGTTTTTTCTTTAAGAAAAATTTTTGCTGTGAAGTATTACACTTCTGAAAAGAAATTTCTGTTATCCTGCATTATTTTCAAAGTTATAAACAATTATGTAGTTGTCAATGAACTCTAAAGTATACTTTCCCTTATTAATTATAACCTTATTTTTTTGAGATGATTCAAAACTTTCAAGTGAGACAGAAAACCAGATAATTTAGTGAAATTAATATTTATTTGACATTTTCGAAATCTGAGATTATAAATTAAATTTAGCGTTCGTCAATCCGAAATAAGACACATAAGACAAAATATTTGTTACTAATGTAACAAATATAACAAATTATTTATTTGAATAATTTTTTAAAAATAATTTTGTAAAATGACTAGGTAGATATTAATTTTTGTATTAACTTAATTTATTTTAGTTTTTTTGTAAAAAACTTTTATTTGTAAAATTTTAATTTTTTAAAAAATAATTTTTATTGTTTAATAAAGTGGCCTGATGATGGTGTCAAACCAAGACACCGAAACGTTGCACAACTAATGTAACATTGTTTCATTTATCACTCTTCCGATAATCGAATAAAAAAGGATTTACAAACTTCAACAACGGAAGAAAAAAATCGTCTATATATTACAAATTCAAATTAACAACATTAGATTTTGAATCAAATGAGAAACAGTCGTTTAGATATTAGTAATTCAAACAAAATTGTTACCAAAATTATTTTTTTTAAAGATGATGGGTTGCACCGAAATCTAAAATCCAATCAAGAAATTCCAAAATTATATTCAAATCACAATTATTCCAATCTCAAAGTTTCTTAGTTATAATGTGTTATAATGTCACTTTTGTGAATCGACATTTTTACGAAAAGTTATTTTTTCAAATTGTCATTTTTGCGAATTGTCACTTTTGCGTAAATTCATTTTTGCGAATTGTCATTTTTACGAAATGTCACTGTTGCGAAAATTCATTTTTGCGAATTGTCATTTTTACGAATTGTCACTTTTGCGAAAATTCATTTTTTCAAATTGTCATTTTTACGAAATGTCACTGTTGCGAAAATTCATTTTTGCGAATTGTCATTTTTACGAATTGTCACTTTTGCGAAAATTCATTTTTTCAAATTGTCATTTTTACGAAATGTCACTGCGTTGCGAAAATTGCTTTAGTGAATTATATGCATACAAGTTTACTATAGCAATTTTCACAAAAATGACAATTCGCAACAGTGCCATTTCGTTAAAATGACAATTCGAAAAAATGGCAGTTCCTATAAAAATGACAATTCGCAAAAATGATAATTCGAAAAAATGATATTTTGCAAAAATGACTTTTCGCAAAAGTGGCAATTCGTAAAAATAGCGATTCCTAAAAGTGACATTTCGCGAAAATAACAGTTCGAATAAATACAATTCGGTAAAATGACAGTTCGGTCAAATGACATTTGGGGAATAATCATGCGCCTCATAATTTTAATTGTGTCTTATTTCGGAAATCGTGGAATCATTGGAAAGTGAGAATGATAAAATAAATTTGTAATTAGTAAAATTGAAGATTCTACAATGTTAGGTATATAATTTTCCAAGATAAAATGACTAAAGCTTTTTTTACAGGTGCGAGATTCTTCTCCTCCATTTAGAGTATTCGAAAAGTGTCAAGAGTTATGCTTAAGAGATAGAACGGCAACGAACAATTTGGTGCGTGCTTGTACAAGTTTTGATTTCCAACCAGGAAGTAGAATAGCGTCGTTTAGAGGAACACCTGAATACGAAGACAGCAGTTGTTATCTCACTAGAGAGCAAGCGCAGCCTGACGGGATTGGCAATTTGATGCTGGTACCAAACAGCGTGCATTTCACAGAAGTGTGTTTGACATGTAAGCTTTTTCTGGAAATATGTCATATAAGTTAAACAGTGCCTTGTAGCACGTGAAAGGTTTAAGGAATAAGTTCAGGTTGGCCTCAGGCTGGATGCCAACCATAATAAGTTGCCATCAAGTTTTTAAATCAATATTAATGTGAATAAAATAAAAATTATTAGTAGGTATTTATAACTTTTAAATTCAGTTCTTATAACTCAAGAATAAATAATTTTCTATGTATGAAGATTAATTTAAAACAATGAATATGTATACAAATTTTAAATTAGTCAAGAATAGATTAGGAACAGAAGCAGTGTGTTTAGAGTTGTTTGCCAATTCAATAACTTTGAGCATTTAACTGAAAAAGAATCTTCCATATGCATTTATTTGTGAATTACAAAAATTATTATTGGGACGGATTCAAGAATTTATGTAAAAACATGAGAATAAGCCGGATGAGAATGTGAGAAAGTTTGAAACACTAAATTTGAGAATTTATGAGTACTAATTTTAGTAAGAAGTCTGAGAAATAACATTTTGTTTAACGAAGTTGAGTGATAAATCATCTGAACCGGCTAATGAGATACTGATTTTCGTACACGAGACGCGTTCAAGTGTGTGCTGCCATGCGTGAGCATTATAATAAACTTCAGAAAAGTAATAATATTCTTAAGTTATTACAAGCTCATGTCATGAAAGGTTTTTGTAAGTTTGGCATTTCATAAAAAATTGCTACGTGCTTACTTTAAAAAATTAAAAAAAGATATCTATTGCATTTTAACGACTTTTCGAATGTTCATAGTTATTAGTTCTGTCCTCCTTTTTTTAAATTTAACATTGTGGAGAAAATTTTGAAAATAAATTTGTAGAGATTGAAACTTAATTTTTAAATTTATTATACTCCCAGTGGGCAAAAAAACCATGTTCGTTCCAAAAAACAGTTTTAAGCACGATTTTGGAACCGTCATGGTTGTTTGCTTACTGGGCTGTAACTAATATTTTTAAATAATATATTTTCTGAAATGGAATAAATTATGTGATTGTTTTAGCAAATCGAATAGAAAGAGATTGTCCGAATCGACGCTACATATTTGAAAGGCATCCCCGAAAAAAATTAAAGTTACAGCTTACGGAAATAAAAGAAGTTCCAGCTGCTAATCGAACAGAATGTGAGGACAGGTTTGTGCATAAAATTTATGTTTTCCTTTCTTAGTTTTAAAGGTTTTGCCTATCACTTTTATCATCTGGCTTTTTATTATAAACATCTACGTTTATAATTCTTCTACAAAACTGTAATGTAAAAAATGAGATTTTGTTCATTGCAATCAGGATGCAATATTTTTTATATTTTCAGATGTCTGAATGAATTCAGCTTTATTTGTCGGTCAGCAACATATAACACCGTAGAAAGAAGTTGTGCCTTAAGTCGCTTCACAAGACGTTCTTATCCTGACTATTTGGAAGATGACCCTAATTCAGATTATCTCGAAAATACTTGTCTTACTGGTGAGAACCAATTTTGGTTGTTAAAATACAAATATAAAAGTTGGTGAATTGCAAGTCAAATTCACAAAAACAATTAAAACCCCACATTTTTAAAATGTTAATTTTTAATTCTCAAAGTAAAAAATAATGCGAAAATTCTTTTTCTTAATTATGTTACTTTGTGTCAAATTTCTGTACATATTGAAAATTTAAATTGGATTATTAGAACAAAAGTTACAGATTTTTTAAAAAAATGGTACAGAAAAATTCAAAGTCTTGCATCTCCGACATTTTTTATTTTTTTCAAAGAATATTTGAGACAGGGGTTTTTTCTTCACTTAAGGAGTATATACACAGTAGAGTATGGACCGAATCCCAATAGGCCATGATAAATGCCATTAATAAGCGGCCATAATTTAAGAACCAATGAATTCATTTTTCTTACAGCTGATCGTCGCTGTGATGGTTTAATGGTTTTTGTAAAAGAAGTTAAGATGCGTTTAAAGGGACCATTTGAACTTGACGTTTATGCAAATTTAACTTTGGACGAATGCCAAGCTCTTTGTTCAAGAGCAGAAAAATACTTTTGTCGAAGTGTTGAGTACGATGAACAAACTCATCAATGTGCTATTTTCGAAGAAGACTCAATTTCTCAGAGAGACGATATAGGCGGAAACAATAGTCCGACCCAACATTTTTACGAACTTGTTTGCTTAGACAATCGTAAGTATTATCATTATTAATTATCATCTGTTAAGAGGTTTACTGGTGTCACATGTACCTACACCTTCGTATATTATAAGCAAAGTTGTGCAGACAAATCTATAAGTAGAAAATAATGAAATGACAACTTTTTAAATAGCACGTGGTTCTGAGTATCCAGATAAGGGCGTAACAGCAACGTCATTTAATGATGAACGTCGTCCAGACACTGCTTTCGAAAGGTACAGAAATGCCCGATTGAGTGGAGAATTCCATTCAGAAATCACAGGAAGAAGTCTCAGCGAATGCTTGGAAGAATGTCTAAGGCAATCAAGTTTCCCATGTAAAAGCGCAGTTTACTCTGAACATTTCCATACTTGTCGGCTAAGCATGTTTAATCAAAGAGACAGACATCGGATAATATTCGACGCGGACTATGATTATTATGAAAATCTTATGCGTAAGTACTTTAACACAAACTGCATCTTAACTCGGAAAGTCTAAATGTTAAACATCGTCCTTGTGTCTATTAGTAAATTTTGTCTCATATTCATTTCATTAAGTTCAAAATGACCATGTAGCTCTAAATCAGATTTTTCATTAAAATGCTGTTTTAAAATTTTGAAGAATCGAGAATCAATTAATATTCTAATACTTGTTAATTTCATATCTTGCAAAATGTTTGTAGATCAATATCTAGCTGGTGAGACCGATGTATCTTCACATCGTCCTGATCCATTAGGTCAAGATACCAACTACGACAGACATTCTCTCGGACGCCCAGGTAAAATAATTCATCAATTTATTTTTATTAAGTCATTTTACAAAGATTAATCTTTGAAGAGAAGAGATATTTTGAGGGAAAATACATGAATTAATTTATCTAAAGATACCTAATAACAATCATTCCAGTTTTTTGTATTGGGATAAAGCGAACTCCTAATGTGTCACTAACACCGAAGCGCATTGGGGGGTTTACTCTAATACTTTTCTCTCGCCCCGAACACTTTTCTCTTCTTGTGATTAAATAGAGGTTCTATGGACAGAGCCAAATTAAAAACGTGGGTTACTTGGAACATAACAATGGAAATTTAAAATAGAAACTTAAATTTTGTGAAAGAATATGTTACTATTCTTTAATACCTCATCTTACTGTGTTATATTTGAAAATCGTTTTAAAGTATTTATCATTAATTTTAGGGTATGTCGACGACTATTACAAACCTTCTCATGGAATCGAAAAGGATATTCGTTTCTCAGAAAGATATCCGGAATCAAATTCACTACCTCTAGGACGGTATCCTTTTCCAGAAGGTCATCGTCATCCTGGTGAATTTAAATTATACCCAGCTAAAGATCACTACTTATCTGATGATAAATATAATAGAATTTATAAACATCGTTATCCACCTAATTTAGACAATTTTCCCCGTGAAAGATATCCATCAGATAGACCGTTGATAAATGAAAATAAAATTCCCATGCGTGGGACTTATTATTCAGACAACACTGGCAATTATCCTGCTTATGACCCTGAAAGTGTAAGTAGATATCCAGTATATAGACGTCGATTTTTGAATACTTTACCACCTTCACAAATTCAACATCTGCAGGATCACTTTCCTAATCAAGAGAATTTACGTTATTCGCCTGGATATATAAAAAATAACAGACGCTATCCTATAGAAGATTTACCAAATAGAGACTTGTTCTTTAAAAGAGGAAGGTGAGTTTCCAAGTTAAACATTAACATGCCACTAAGAACAAACAAAAAAAGCGGTCAAATTTTTGTTAATTTATTTAATTATCTCTTAAATTCACTAACACTACTAGATAATGTTCTCTGTATGGCTCATAAAATCATTATATATTATGAATCTGCATAATGATATACAATCTTTATGAAGACTCCTGATTAACAGACATCCAGGAGTGAATGGGAAAGAGCACTTTGATCGTCCACCTTACATCGAAAGCATGGCCTACAATCCAGTACGGCCCTTATCTAACGAAGCTTATGGAGAAGGTGGAGTAGGTGGAGTAGTCGGTGGTGGCTATATAGGGGAAGGTGGTATTTATCAGACTAAACCCTTTGTCATAAATGGGCCTATAAGCGACAGACCTCCCTTACTCGCACGGTGTGACGAGCAAACCAACTTTCGACGAGTAGCGCACAGGATGCGCGTGCGGAAACCTTTCATTCGTGGCTCAACTTCGGCTCCATCTATACAGAACTGTGATCGAGAGTGTGCAGACACGAGACATTTTGTATGCAGATCTTTCAATTTTAAGCCGCTGGCCAATGAGCAAGGTAGTGATCAAGATAATTGTGAACTAAGCGACAGGGATTCAAGGGACATGGATATGAATAATCCTCTGTACTATGATTCTGGAACGGATTTTGATTTTTACGAGAGAAATAATGGTAGACAAGGATCCGATAACGATTGTCTTGATGGTAAGCCATACGAAGTTATTCAGGAATATATTATATGCTAAAAATAATTCTTTTTTATTTGCAGTGACTCAAACTTGCAGTGAAGATGGAATGGAATTTACGCTTAGAACACCTGAAGGTTTTACTGGTAGAATTTATACTTATGGATATTACGATAGATGTTTTTTTCGAGGTAGTGGAGGGACAATAAATGTCTTACGAATAAGTGGAACTCAAGGATATCCTGATTGTGGAACTCAGCGGGTAAGAAGATAATAGCTTTAAAAATAATTTCTAATTTATTTAATAAAAATACATTTAATACTAGTATGGAGACGCAATGACCAATATCGTGGTTGTACAATTTTCTGACTATGTGCAAACAGCAAAAGACAAACGATTTAATCTCACTTGTCTCTTCCGAGGCCCAGACGAAACTGTAGTTACATCTGATTACATCGGAGCAGGGTACATATCAATTTTCTTTGTAATTTTAATACATAATAATAATAATAACTAGGATTACTTAGTAATCTCCCTCTGGTCAAAAAAGCATGTTCGGTCTAATAACGTTCTTAAAACGTTTTTAGAACGTTTCATGTCCACCAAATAATCTTTTAGAACATACTTTTTGTTTTTTGCCCAGAGGGCTGCATGTTTAAAAAATAATTGAATGCTGAATATATTTTGCCAAATTAGTAACAATAATTTTTTTAGGAGATCAGGAGCACCAATACCAATCGAATATCTTCCAGCTGAAAACACACTGAATAATCGTGTTCGTTTACTGATTCTTTATCAAGGCAGACCGACCACAACAATTGCTGTTGGTGATCCACTGACTTTTAGATTGGAAGCGCAAGACGGGTAATACTTTCGGATTCTATAACATTAGATTTATTATCTTAAAGTGAATGTGTTGGACCGACCTGCGAATAATTAGTGAAACCGCAAACCTATGTCTATAAATAATATTATTATTTTAATTTTCCAAATTAAAATTACGAAAAAATTTATGGGACCTGCGTTTCGATACCCAACTGAGTTAGTCTCTTATTTGATCGTAGTTTTAATTTTGAATAAAACTTCTCACTACTCGCCAATGTGGTTAAGAGTTAATATTAAAAAATTGTCTTTATATTAATTAGAAGCAAAAAGAATAGTACTAATTCAATCATATTCTTTCATTAAATAGATCTGTTTATCCTGCTGATATTTTTGCTACAAACGTCGTAGCCAGAGATCCATATTCTGGAAGGAGTGTCCAGTTAATAGACAGATATGGGTAAGAAATATATTTGCTTAGATAATTAATTATAGAATGTATCTAAAAAATGCGCGTCATAAATTATACTTATAATATTAAACTAACACTGCTTAAAATAAAATTTGAATTGCACTCACACACAAATCCCCTTCTGAACCGAATATAATATTAATTTATAGGAATTAACCTTACCTTACTGCCACAATTGTTTGAAATCTCCACTATTACTTGTGACAGAGTAATTGAATATTATTATTTTTATTTTGTAGATGTCCTGTTGATAACTTCGTGTTCCCTGGTCTGGATCGTTTAAGAGATGGAGACAGTTTAGAAGCTCGATTTAATGCATTTAAAATACCTGAATCAAATTTTTTGGTCTTCGAAGCCACAGTTCGTACTTGTCCTAATGGCTGCCAACCGGCCTATTGTTCTTCTGGAAGTGGAGCTGGAAGAAACGAACCATCTTTTGGAAGAAAACGAAGAGATTTAGAATCCGAAAATATTATCAGCAGAAATGATACCGAAGAAAATGTTGCAATATTAACTATAGCAGAGAATGATATAAATAATCAGAATATGTCATACGAGTCGATTGAAGAAGGCGAGGAAGAGTATGTGAGAGAAATGATAGAGGTACGAACAAATTATTATACGTGACAATTAAAAGAAACCTATCGACCGAAATAGTTCATCTTCTGAATTTCGTTATTGACCAATTCTTTTTTCGTGTTCATTTGAAGAACGAAAAAAATTCAATACCATCTTAATATTTTACGCGGAAAGAATTTGTTGGTCGAAACATTAGATAAACATTAAAACTGAATTGATTGGAATTGGCTTTCAAGAAATCTTAGCGTCAAAAAAATACATAGGAATCGGCCAAAAATGAAACTCAAAAGAATTGATAATTTAACATTTTCTGTGGAAAGTTAAAAATTTTCAATTCTTCTGAATTCCCCGCTTATTCCTGGGTTTATACTGTTCAAATGACATGTTTTATTGGCATGACATTAATTTTTTTGTTTTTATGTTTAATTATAGTATAGAAAAAAATAAGGTTAATATGATTTCTAAACTTGCAGGTATTTGCTTCAAGAAATGATTTAGATGAAGAGAAAGAAACTATTCTAATTGAGCAACAAATTAATGCTTTAGAAAAAATTTGCCTATCATCGAATGAATATTTTGCTCTTATTGCTGCTATTATAACTCTCGTTGCTGTTTTATTTGCTGTATTAATTTTGCAGATATTGATTTGTAGGTATGATAAAAATTTTATAAAATGAATAATTACGTATTACGAGTAACATCTCAAATAACTCAACATTTGAGCCCAATATTGTGTGAATATCTCCAATATAATATTGAGTCAATATTATCTTGCATTTAAATCTAATTAACTAACGCAATATTTTCTATTACAGAAAGTACAGTCATTTAAAAGCTTTACAGCACAAAAACATGAAAAGGTCGAATAACCACAACCAAATACATGATAATTTTTCTAACAAAGGATCTATAAACTACTCTTTTCTAAGATCAAGTTTTCAAAAAGCAGCACGCTCCATGTAAGTAATGTGATAATACCCACTTCCTTTAAAGTAGAACTATGAACAAAAAGTTTTGAACGTTCAAATGAACGAAATATTTTTTGTTAAAAATATTTTCATAGATTATTGATTACAATTCAAATTAAAAACTCAAATTTTACATTTAGAAACATTATAATTAATTTGCTTAATAGTGACGCAAAATTATAGTAATACAAATTTAATTTGAAGAAGAAATAAATCAATTTCGTTCATTTGAACGTTCAAAACTTTAACCTCCTGTAGAACTTGATTTTATACATTAGATAAAAAGTAATTTTCAATTACTTTTAAGTCTCTTTTCTAAAGAAATGTATGGAGCGGTCCACGCCAAGTACAAAAAGTTAAAAAAATACCCCACATGGAAACCTGTTTTTCTTAGGCTCATGAAGACGTTTCTTTTTCAGAGCCATTAGCAACATAATGTCCCAAAGAAGAACTTCGGAAGAAACTCAATCAAGTCAACGAAGTAATGTCGATCCCAGTGAACCGATTTACACAGATCCTTCGCTTTTCGAGTTTAGTCGTTCTGCTCTTATAGGTGCTCAAGACCTACCTTACTAAAAGACGAATAAATAAAATCCTGATGAATATCGACCTTGTTCAAAAAATTATATCTTAAATACAATTTAAGTTTTTACACAAATATTGCAACACTATTAAATACGTATTACTTGCTTCAAATTTTCAGTTCCAAATACTGGTTCAATAATCATCCATTACAATATCGCGTTACTATATATTACATTCGAATTTTTAATAATTTAAGTACCTACTTAAATCATTAATTTTGATAAATTACATTGATTTCACTTCTTTAAATTCTATCAGCTAAAAATATCGCACTACATATTAAATATGCTATAAAATGTTCAATCCTTAACTTATGTTAACACTATTTTTCCCATTTCACTGCACAAATCATAAATTTTAAGAAAATTAAATAACTTTTTTTAATTTAAGTGACTAAATTTCTTATCGATTTATCAAGCCCGATGCTTAAACTTTAATTTATTTCAATTTATTTTTTATATCTAATTGTGGCGATAATAAAAAATCTTTTAAAAAATGTGTTTTCTAAGCAAAAAAAAAATAAGAAAATGCATAAAAAAATATGAAGCACCGTATTCGAAAAGAACTCAAAACATATCTTTAATATGAAATAACACTAGTTTAGTTTTGTTGATATTCTTTTAATCGATAAAAAAAGAAGAGTAATAAATGAAACACTATTTCATTAGATGTGCAACGTTTCGGTGTCTTGGTTTGACACCATTATCAGTCCACTTTATTAAACAATGAAAATTTTTTTATAAACAATTATTAATTTACAAATAAAATAAAATTAAGATTTTTACACAAACAAAAAACAAATAAAACAAAATTAACATCCTCGCGTGAGGCGAGGCGATCGCGACGCAATTTATTCTTTGAAAATTAATAACTCAAAAACAAAAAAGGGCGTTCTGCAAATTTACATGCAGCCGATAGGAAAAAACCTCAGCTTTCGTTTGCAATAATTTATTTTCAAATAAAACGGACACCGATTTTTGGGAAATTGAAAATTAAATAATAATTATAAAAAATTAGGATCAATTTTTAAAATATTAAAAAATAAAATTCACCATTGGAAAGAGCATGAAAAAACCTTTTAGAAACATATTCTACAAAATTTTTTCCATTACAAGTATGTACAGAAAAAATGGAAAAAATAGACGGTGTTAAGCAAAATTGAAATAATTAACCCCCCTTTACCCCCTCCAAATTTTCGAAAAAGTCAAAAATGTTTTTTGGGTTACATTTCTACTTGATAGAACAAGAAATTCCCCGAGTTTCAATTTTTTTCAACAAGTTGAAATTTCAACTTAGGACATTTCACATAAAATGCCTCATATTGTAGATATGATTTATGAAATTTTTTTTTTCGATTTTTTGAACCCATCACATGGGGTGACCTCCTTAAGAAAACTGAAAGAATGATTTTATTTCGATTATTTTGATTTGAGTTCATTGACTCCACACTTGCTTTTATATGAATTGCAAAATTGTCTCCTTTAGATTTTAGTCTTGTTTTGTCATCCGTACGAGATGTCAGTGTTCTGTCTTAACTTATTTGTTTTAATTTTTGGACGTTTTTATTTTATTCGAGACACATTACAAACGTAACAAATTATTTATTTAAGTAATTCATATTTTTTTTAAATGATCAGATAGATGTTAATTTTGTTTAATTTGTTTTGTTTGTGTAAAAATGTTAATTTTATTTTATTTGTAAATTAATAATTGTTTATAAAAAATGTTCATTGTTTAATAAAGTGGCCTGATGATGGTGCCAAACCAAGACACCGAAACGTTGCACATCTAATGAAATAGTGTTTCATTTAAAAGAATATCAACAAACTTTTTTTTATGTTGGTACCTGCCATTTTGAAAATGCATGATTTAGACTAATTTGAGGTTGCTGAAGGCGAAAATGACCACCAAACCAAACCGAAAATAATTTTGCAAACTTAAAATAGGAGTTAGGGAGTGTCATGAATTTCTTAAGGTACTACTACACTTTAGAATTTTAGAAACTTTAAAATTAAATTTATTATAATCCTCACGATTAATATGAAACGAAACAATGATTAAATTACAATCTTCTTATTTAGGAAGTTCGATATTACCTTCCATTTGATTCGCTTTAAAATTTTGTAGAGAATCTTCGTCCATTGGCTCGATAATTTTACCCATTTTTGTTCTGAATGAGGGTACTATTAACTTGCTGTGGGTTTTCTCAGGCACAAAGTTTCTTCCGACGGGAGCACGCATACTGGCTTCATAATCCTTGACATTCGTGAAAGGAAATGGTAATTCAGAAACTTGATGCTTTCTAATAGTACTACTATTTTCTTCATTAATTACAACATTTCCCTTATTTTCATCTTTACGAATAGTGTCCTTGGAGAATTGAATGACAAATTTTCTTTTCAGTTTACTTGGCTGTTTAATGTTTTTACCACCCCATCTACCCCAGCCAGGTAATAACAGACTCACATCCTCAGGTTTATTTGCATTCACCTGCAAGTAAAAAGTCAGTTATTCGAAAACCTGCTTACCTCTTTTATTGATCTTCGGATCATCGGAATGACTATGTTGAATGTTAATTACTTTCTTCAATTTTTCTGGAATTCCACAGGAATCACAGTCTCAGTAAGAAATTCAGGAAAACTTTCAATTATTTTCTTAACTTTGTAACATTATATTTTGAATAGGTGAGATTTTTTCCAAACCTATAAAGGTTTGTAATTATGTATTATGAAAACCATTTGGGCCCGACACAAGTTCAGTTATGTAAATTTTCTTAAAAGTCGCGGTTATGAGCCTTGACACAATCCGGCTAGCCAGTAAAGCTCTTTTTAAAATGGTTTTTTACCAACCCACTCATTTGAAAAAGAAATGTATAATCATCAATCAAATCTTCTTACTCAAAAATGTTTTCAAAAACTATTTGTGTATACCAAATTTTAGCATTTCAGGTCAAATACAGTCAAGTGGTTGTCCGAGTTTCCGTCCACTTTTGAACAATTTGGGGTATTTGAATGTGAATAATTTTTTTACTGCGTTTCAATATTGTTATCATAATTTATATCAACTTAAGCTCTCTTTACATAATTATAATTTTAATTTTAACGTAAAAATCCTACAAAAAGATCGAAAAATCTGACAGTGCTATTGAGCGTCTTCTCGAGGCAAAAAGATCTGACTGCTCACAGACAAACAGCTGTCAGATTTTCCACCGAATTTCGATCGTATAAGTTTAAAATACAATTAAAAGTATATTTATAGTTAAATTAGGTATTAAATTATTTGTTTAATTAAAAATTGATTTGATGATTTAATTAGGTAGACAATAACTACTAAGACCCCCACTAGGACAGTGTAAATCACCACTGTCTTAGTTATCGTCCACTACTTGAATACAAATTTTAAACACAAAAATAAATTAGCATAAGCTAAAAACAAGTAATTTAAATGTGAATTAAGTCATCAAATTATTTTATAATAATTATAAATGATGCATTTTGATACTTAGAATATATGCTATTGTAAATAAGGATAAAATTTATTAATAGGGTAGAGTGGGGCAAACCGGCTCGGTGGGTAAACCGGCCAGGTGTCAATATCTCCGAAATGGCGAAATTGGAAAAAGTGTTGTTTACAAATTTAAGACAACCATGTTTAGTATACCTTATTTTTTCAATCTGACAGTTTTAGCTTGCGTTTGTGCGACGAAGGGAGCAAAAGTTTTTTTTAGTTTTTTTCTACACTTTTACAAATTTTTTCTTAAGGAAATTCTGAGGAAATCGTGTAATGTTTCCAAATATTAGGTCTTAGGTTTTTAAGATACACACCTCAGGAATATTTACCACCAAAAACTTTGATGAATTTGCAAAGCGTTTCTTTTAAAAAAATATTTATTCTCAAAATGAGCCTGTAGGGCAAAGCGGCCAGTTTTCGGTGGGGCGAACCGGCCATAGGATATTTTCATTGTATTAGAGTTTCAAGAAAATTATTATTAATTACAATGTTTTTTTCATTAAAATATTTACTTTCAATGAAAAATAATTATCTTTCAATGAGAATTAGACCCTTTAATATTGTTTCTCTGATAATTTCAAACATTTTTTTTTGTTATTTAAAAAAATTATTTATTTAATTAAAATTCAATCCTGTATTATTATTTACATTATTACAAGCATTGTTCGCATGATTCTTTATGTTTGTTGTTATTGTAAATTATAAAAATGCAATATTGTAGATAAAAAACCAAACGGTCCTGTTTGCCCCATGGGAGTGGCCGATTTACCCCAGGGGGTGGGGCAAACCGGACCTTTTGCAAAATTTTTTAAAGTTAACACAGCAACTAAACAATGAAAGATAAAGTATAGGTGTCACTGGGAAAAAGTTGCGCAATTAAATGATCTTTCAAACAAGCCATCGAAAAATGAAATCGGTTGATTCGTTTAGTCATAAGAGTTAAAAAACCGTTAGGGTGTCCGGTTTGCCCCACTCTCCCCTATATATATATATAATAATAATAATATAACCTCAATGCTGTCAGTTAAATTTATAAACACATTTTTCAATTTTTTTTAAATGTTACTTTCAATTAGTTATAAAACATTAATAATTTTTAGAGGTGTGCAAAATTCGAATCGAAAGTTAACCGAGTCGAGTTGAGCAATTCGAATTTCGAATTGACTAATTCGAATCGAATTATCTCCGATTCGAATTTTGTGTTGTCGAGTTGATTAATGTTCGGTTCGACTCGATTAAATGCACACCTCTAATAATTTTCTAATTTCATAAATACTTTCTACATTTTTGGATTGATTTAGAGTAGGGGAGACTGGGGCGGAAAGTTAAATTTTGCATAAATGATTTTTTTAGACAATATAATTCGCTTAGATGCAAATATTTATATATCAATATTGTAGGGCAACTTGTTCTCTACCAATTTTTACCTAGCTAGGTCAAATAATATATAACTTAAACTGAAAAGAATGATATTGTCGATTTTGTCATACTCGTATAGTTAGGACGTATAGCTGAAACAGCAATACTGTATGGCTGTCCCATATCCATTAATATAATATGTGAGTATTTGCCATATTTATGGCAGTATCATAAATATAGTTTTTTCAGTGTATGGGAAAAAATGTTTTTCAAAAATTTTTTTTTAGTGTTTCCTTAACAACGCTATGACCATTAGCACATATGTTCTCTATATTTTTCCAGTAATATTCCCGTAAAAATACACCAGTATGCCAAATTTCATGTTAAATCCCTTGACAACGCTTTGACCGTCATCTCCAATCACATTCGCTATATTTAACGCTATATGTAACCTACGTGCGAAAATACGTATCTGTACCAAATTTTAGCTCTCTAGGTCAAATAGTTTCGCCGCTAGGGGGGACACCAATAGGGTCCCGTAGAACACTGGCTAAAAGTTGCTTTTCTTTTAAGATTTCTAATTTTTGAAAATGTCAATAAATATCCATTAATAGTGTAAAATAACTACAAAACAATGATTAATCCATAATTATGAACGAAAATATTTGCAATTTCTATTATCCGTACCAGGTCCTGCCAACAACTTTCCTTTAAATTCAATATGCAAAAAATGTAATGAGCCTTGATAAATTATAATCAAACATTAAAGGGCCAGTCCCGTGGAATAAAATTTTCTGAAATGTGATTTTTGGATTGCTAAGGTCAAAAAAGTTAAGTCAAAAAATTGAATTCGAAAATCTTTAGCAATAATCCTGTGAAAGCAATAATTAAATGGTTAAAAGATTTAGTGTTACCTCTTCTTCCTTTTCTTTCTTAAAGTCTTCTACTAGATCCTCGTCAGAAAATGCCTCGTGTAATAATTGGTATCCATTTTCCTGTTTATCGTCATCGTTTTCACATAATAAATCACATTCTGCTGAATTCTCGTCAGGTAAGTGTGACTTTAAATATTTTGTTGCAGTTACTTTAGGTACATCGTCATTATTGACCAAAATCTTGTCTTCTTTGCTGCGAATACTAACTTCATCTCGAACTGAATCCGTAGGACGTATTCGTTTTGCACTTTTCATTTTATTGTCCTCAACTCTTCTTTTATTATTTTTGGAATTAATCTCGCTGCCGACATCTATTCTTTCAGAACTACTTTTCTTCTTCTTAGTCTCTGGAAGATCACAGTTGGTAACTGTCCATTTAGACGTTCCGATTACATTATTTTCTTGTGAATTAAAGTTCGTATTTAACGAAGTACTAATTTCACCACTAACACTTGACCGTTGGAGCAATTCATTAGGAATATCATCCTTATTCCTGATTTTATTTTTAGAAGCTGCAAAATAAAAATTACATAATTCACATTGTTATAGTCTCATTTAAGCATAAAAGCATTTACAACTTAAATTGATTACATTTTTTAAATTATATAATGCAACTTTTCATAATATCAATATTTTTAAATACGTTTGATTATAGTGTGTCGCTTATCCTACTTCCTAATACAATGACAAAAAAAAAAAAAAAAAAAAAATACACATTACATACATCTGTAAAATTAGTAAAACTTACTATTTTCAAATTCCTTTCCACCTGATTCACAAGGAATGACTTCTTCATTTCTTTCTGGTTTATTCTTCATTTTACTATCGTAGAATTTACGATATTGACTTACAAAATCATTTACTTCCGACTCTGTTTTCACATTATTAATCCAAGGATTCTCCGAGAAATTTAGCGGAATTGACGTAGAAAGCGTCTCTTTACTGACATCATCGTCGTCGTCTTCAGTAATCATTGTCTTTTGAGTTATATCTCGACCAATTGACAACTGTTTAGATAATTCTTGTCGACTCTGAAGAAAAGAAACATTTAGAAAATAAGAGAGGACAAATTTTAAGAAATTGTTCATTATATATTTTAAACTATAAATTATTAATAGACACGGTAAATATATAGTCGCATTGGATTTTTTACATTTTTCTACAATATAAAGGAATTACTCGTATTGGATTCGCCTTATTAAACTAAAAACTGATATCAGATTGGAAAGTAATTAATTCATTCATTCATTCATTTCCCTAAAAATTTCGTCAAATCAATTTCTTTGAAAAATTGGTACTCGAGCTATTTAATTTCATGTGAAAAAAGTCTCTAGCAGGCTTCACAGTGCTCTTAAAAAGTATTTTAGGAGAAATAGGGGACTGGAAATTTAAAAATAGGGGACTTTTAGGGGACCATAAGACACTTTTTCCCTGACTCTAAAGAATATTCTGATTCACTCTAAAAATTAATAGATACTTAAAAAAATGTTCTATTAAATTTAATTACAAATTCCTTCACAAGTAAAATTATTCGAAAACATCAATTAATTATTAATTAACTATCTATATTAATTTGAATGTTCTTTCATTCTTTCATTCATTCACTTTTTCTGTCCCTCACACTCTGAAGTTGTCTTCTATTTATATTTTTGTTTTTGTTATCTTTAGATAAATTGTATATTATATTATTACTAGAAAATTTTACGCGCGGAACGTGATATTCAATTTATTATTGTTATGCAAATTACAAATATTTTTAATCTTCAAATATAAATTTTTAAAATAATTTCATAATCAAAATTTAAAAAATTCTCTTATTAAGTACAAAATTAATTATTACTGTTCATATTTTATAAAATTTTAATAAATCCTTCGAAAAAATTCAATTATTTTTATAAATAGTAAAATTCTTCCCAACAATTAAATTATTTTTAATTAAATTTAAATAAAATCACATGAAAGAATTTAATTATTTTCAAAAATTTCCATAAAATGCAATTTCAACAAGAATTTTAAATTCTCTAAAAATAATTCAATTATTCTCAAAATATTTTAAAAAAATTTTTTATAAAAATTAAATTACATTCAATGCAATTTTTAAATATATTCGTCAAAAAAATTGAAAGAATTCAATTATTTTCAAAAAATAATAAAATTCTTGTGATGAATTCAATTATTTTGATTATACTTAATTTTAATAAAATTCTTTAAAGAAATTCCATTATTTTCGAAAAAACTTTAATTGAATTTCTCGAAAAAATTTTATTATTTTAAAATATTTCTATAAAATTCTTCATAACAATTTAATTATTTCTTAACATTTTTAAAAATTCTCGCGAAACATTTTAATTATTTTTTATAAATAGCAAAATCTTTCTAAACAATATTCAATTATTTTTTTGAATAGTAAAATCTTTACAAAAATCCAATGATTTTTAAAACAATTTTAATTGAATTCCTCGGATGAATTCAAATATTTTTTAATATTTCCATAAATTTCAATTATGTCCAAAAATTTTAATAAATTCTTTGAAACAATTTTTATAAATATTAGTAAAATTCTCCGCAAGAATTCAATTATTTTCAATCCACTTTTAATAAAATTCAAATGCTTTCAAAATTTTCAATTAAAATTATTAAAGAAACTCCATTAGTTAAAAAAAAATTCAAAGAAATTCTTCAAAAGAATTTAATTAGGATTTTAAAAATTTTTAATAAAATTCTTTGTGAGAATTCAGTTATTTTCCTAAATAATAAAATTCTTTGAAGGAATTCTATTATCATCAAATTTTTTGATAAAATTCTTTGCAACAATTCGATGATTTTCAATATATTAATTTTAAAATTGAAAATATTTGAAAAGAAAAATTATAAAAAAGTTAATAATAATGCAATTTATTTTGCATTATTTTTGTTTGTGAATTACAATTTTTTTAACAAAATTATTATTTTGTTTTAGAAAAAGAAGAAAAATATTTGCAAAATTCCTATTCTTTGAATCTTATTTTTGGAACAGGATTTTCCACAGGAATTAAGACACTCAAAAATTTCGAATTCAAACCTTTTTTAAATTAAACAACTTATAAAAGTATTTGTTATAAAATATGAAAATGTCGATTGCTCCCGGAGTGATCGATTTCTTCATTTTTTATAATAATTAAAGATGACCAAGTAATAAAATCATTATTTTATATTATTATAAGAATATTGTTACTGTAACTTCATTAAAATTATTTTCATCATTTTAATTCAATTATTATTTTCTAGAATTTTAAATTATTTTTTATGAAAATAATTGAATTCCTTAAAAAAATTTATTATTTATAAAAATAATAATTGAATTCCTGTGAAATTTTTATTATTTATGAAAATAATTAAATGTTTGCATACAATTTTATTAAATTTTTTTTTAAATAATTGAATTTTTTGGGAAATTTTGTTAAAATAGTAGATATTGAATTGAAATTAGAAAAATGCATTTTATTTTTGAAAATAATAGACAAGAATTTTTTTGACATTTAGGAAAATAATTAAACTTTGGAGAAGAATTTTGTTACTTATAAAGATAATTTGGATTTTTACAAATTTTTTTTTTAAATTTTGTATATAGTTGAATTTTATAAGAAGAATTTTATTTATTTTTGAAAATAGTTGAATTTCTTCAATTATTTGTAATTTCTCCAAAATTGAATTTTTTTAGTGTTTTCAACAAAAATTTGAATTAGAAAGTTTTCAAATTCTATTATTTTTAAAATTGCAAATTTTATTTAAAAAAAGGCAGTAAGAAGTTAGCCGCGCGCTTTAGCGCGCGAATTGTTGCTAGTAGTTTTATTTAAAATAAATATTTAATCATTTTTTTCTTTTTTCATTGGAATTAAGATGTTCAAAAATTTCAAATTCAAACCTTTTCAAATTGAAAAACTCATAAGAATATTATTAGGTATAAAACGAGACGCATGATTATTCCCCAAATGTCATTTTTCCGAAATGTCATTTTACCGAACTGCACTTTTGCGAATAGTCATTTTTGCGAAAAGCCATTTTTGCGAAATGTCATTTTTACGAATAGTAATTTTTGCGAAAAGCCATTTTTGCGAATAGTAATTTTTGCGAATTGTCATTTTTGAGAATCGCCATTTTTACGAATTGTCACTTTTGCGAATTGACATTTTTACGAAATGTCATTTTTGCGAATAGCCATTTTTGCGAAAAGTAATTTTTACGAATTGTCGTTTTTGCGAATTGTCATTTTTGCGAAAAGCTATTTTTGCGAATTGTCATTTTTGCGAAATTTCATTTTTGAGAAATGTCATTTATGCGAATTGTCACTTTTGCGAATCGCCATTTTTACGAATTGTCACTTTTCCGAAAAGTCATTTTTGCGAATTGTCATTTTTGCGAAAAATACAATAGTAAACTTGTAGGTATATATAGATTCACTATTGTATTTTTCGCAAAAATGACAATTCGTAAAAATGTCGATTCGCAAAAGTGACAATTCGTAAAAATGGCGATTCGTAAAAATGTCAATTCGCAAAAGTGACAATTCGTAAAAATGGCGATTCGCAAAAATGACAATTCGCAAAAATTACTATTCGCAAAAATGGCTTTTCGCAAAAATTACTATTCGGTAAAATGACATTTCGGAAAAATGACATTTGGGGAATAATCATGCGGCCCCCATGTCGTGTTTATTTAAAAATTTTTGTGTTTATTGAAAGTTTGGGTGTCAATGAACAAGAAAATACCAAAAAAAATTTTTTTAATTTATTCAGACCCCTAAAAAGGGGGGTTGAATTATTAAAAAATCTGTCCGCGCAAGCGCGGACACATTCTCATCCGCGCTTCGCGCGGGGGCTCGCTTCGCTCGCAAGTTTCAGCGCGCCTCGGGGCGCGCGATTATTGATCGTCGCGCTTCGCGCTCCGGCGATTATTTCGCACGTCGCGCTTCGTGTGTTGTTGCGCGCTTCGCGCGCAAATGGCTCGCTTCGCTCGCCGGGGTCTGCAATTGTTGTGCATTATTTATGTTCTTATTTCCTATTATATGTTTCATAAAACAGTTTTTTTTTCTTAAAGTTACTACGACTTTAAGGATTACATTCTCATCACATGTTTTAGTTTGCTGATGATTGCGATATTAAGTGAATTTAAATGTATATTTTTGGTCTTGATGATTAAAATTGTAAAGTTATTTTTAATTATACTAACTCTCTTAGTAAAAACATGATTTGCAGAAGCAGCTAAAATATTTTTAAAGAATTAGTATCAAATTTTTTGTGTAGTGTAGACCGGAGCGTAATGACTAACTTTTCACTCTTTGTTTATTTACTCAGACATTTTTGTTTTAATTAAGTGTTTATCTCCTAGAAAAGTTACTCTGGTATATTACTTTCTCATGTGATGAGAATGAAAAAAACCATTTCCAACAAGATAGGACCAAAAATTGAAATGTAAAAAGGGGTCACACCAGCACAACTGTATTAAAAAAATTTCATTGATTTTCTAAAATGTTATATCTTTTATGAATATATTTTAGTTATAACATTTTAGAAAACCAATAAAATTTTTTTAACCCAGTTGACCTCGCCTGACCCAAAAACTTAAAAAAAATTAAGTTTCTATGAAAAAATGTTGTAGAGAAAAGTTGTTTGTATTTTTCTAATCGAAAGTAATATAAAATTAAAAATATTGAAATTTGAAAAAATTGAATTTTCAAAATTTTGAAACTACTGTAGTTTGTGTAGTTTTCGACGAAAATGGCTGGCTAACGAACTCGATCTGTATTTTAACAGTAACTTTGTGCATGCAAAGTTGCAAGTTGATGCAATAAGTTTTTCAAGAGTTATCGTAGGGACACCATTGTGTCTACAGACAGACACGAAGACATGCATACAGACAGACACTTTTTCTAGACCATGTTTAACAGACTCAGGGGACTCCAAAACGTCGAGATTTCAAGAAATTAGCGAAAGTCAATTTTCGACCAAAACTAATACTTTCTCATGTGATAATAATGTAAAAATGATTAAAA